AGTCTGTTGCCAATAATTTAACCCAGTATTTCTCAAATTTCTATCATTCTTCTAACCAGTCTGATGATTCCAGCTTTATTATAGTACTATCTGTACTATTAATTACTTAGAATTTTTCTCTAATTTGATTTTTAACTTAAATTTATTTTAAAATAACCTATCGGGGCACCTGGGTGGCTCAGTGGGTTAAGCCTCTGCCTTCGGCTCAGGTCATGATCTCAGGGTCCTGGGATCGAGCCCCGCATCGGGGTCTCTGCTCAGCGGAGAGCCTGCTTCCCCCTCTCTGCCTGCCTCTCTGCCTACTTGTGATCTCTCTCTCCACTAAATAAATAAATAAAAATCTTTAAAAAAAAGAAAGTAAAAAAATTAAAATAACCTACCTTTATCATTAATGGAGTACCTGTTACTTAGGCTGAGAGAACAAAGTGGTAAAAATAAAAGATGAAAACAAAACAATGTTGTTGAAGTTTTAACTAGATTCTGGTATTTGTGTAGCTGAATCTGAAGTCTATTCTTTGCTGTTAAAAGAAAAAACATTAGAAAGTATTAAGAGGTGGCTGGCTCAGTTGGAAGAGAGTTCAACTCTTGATCTTGGGGTTGTGAGTTTGAGCCCATGTTGAGTGTAGAGATTACTTAATTAATTGATTGATTGATTGATTTAAAAAGATTTTATTTATTTGACAGAGAGAGAACACAAGCAGGGGGAGTGGTAGAAGGAGAAGCAGGCCTCCCTCCGAGCAGTGAGCCCGATGTGGGGCTCAATCCCAGGACTCTGCGATCATGACCCAAGCTGAAGGCAGCCGCTTAACGACTGAACCACCCAGGCGCCCTGAGAAAGAGAATCTTGAGCAGGCTCCACACCCAGTAAACAGCTGGATGTGGGGCTCACTCTCATGACCCTGAGATCATGACCTTAGCCAAAATCAAGTTGGAGGCTTAACCTATAGAGCCCCCAGGGGCTCTGGGATATCATTTTTATTGACCTGTTTTCTCCAAGGGCTACATAATTTATATTCTAGAGTCAGGAATGAAAAATGAAAATAGACTTTTCCCTTCTAGGCATGTAGGAGGGGGGAGCCTGACAGCAGACTGGCTGAAATAGTGATATAGTGGAGTGTCTTAGTTAAACTTTTGGGTGCAAGGAGCAGAAACCCATTGACACAAGCTCTCGTGAAGGGGGCTTGTTGTAAACCCTGGTGGGAGCCTAGCGCAGGAATGTAGTGTTCAGGGTTTGATGGAAACTGGAGAGCTGTCAGGATCTAAAGTTTTTTTTAAGAGTTTTAAAAATTTATTTATTTGTCACAGAGAGAGCACAAACAGGAGGAGTGGCAGAAGGAAAAGCAGGCTCCCTACTGAGCAAGGAGCCCAATGCGGGACTTGATCCCGGGACCCTGGGATCGTGACCTGAGCCAAAGGCAGACACTTAACCGACTGAGCTGTCCAGGCATTCCTAAAGCTTTTTTCCCCCCTCCCAATTTCCCCTGGGCTTTTATCTATGTGTGTTTATTCTCTGCTGGGTTCTTCAGACTGCCTTTTTTTTTTTTTTTTTTCTTTTTTTCCTTACTCATGAGTTTACCCAGGGTTCACCATGTTGGCTTTGTGGCCACACCAAGATGTGATCTCTCCCTACAAGCTTCAATTAGTTAGCACTTCCCTGACCCCAATCCTTTGATAAAGATAAGTGACATTTTTAATACTTTCATAAATGTTATGTGAATGAAGAGGTGAGATAACTCCTTTTCTTTACTCCACATCAACTAACTTGCATCCCCTAAGGCTTCTTCAAAATGGAAATTTTGGAGCTGCCAATGGTAATGTCAGACTCAAAATATTTATTTCCTTCCAAATGAGGTTCCCATAGTTTCCTGACTCTTGCTTTGTGACTCAGTGTTGCAGTTATAGTTTACTAGGGAAGAAACCTGATATACCCTTGGGTCAAATATCCACCCCATTGGGTGTAGTTCCAAGGTCTAGACATGGTCATCCTATCCTGCTCCTGCAGTAGACGCAGTGGGAACCATTCCCAGAGAAGAGGGCATGGGCAGGTAGGTGTAGAGGGAAAAGTTAAATGCCCTTGTAGTCCTGACCCCTGGTCTCATCCATTTATGGGCAGATCTTCAGAACTGGGTTCTCATTACAGATGTCTAATTACTCTTCAGGGTATGCTCAAAGAACCTGGAGTCTTGGAATGAGGCAGAAGTACCTTAGAACTGACTCAGAAAGAGATCAGCCCAAGAGAAAGTATCCTTTATTGAGCTGAAATAAATGTCAGGTATTTCCCGTAAGGACAAATGATGTCCTATTGGCTGAGCTATTTAAGAAAACTGGTGTTAGATATTTGGGTAGTTAGGCCAAGATTGTATGCTTTTAGTGTTTTCTGGTTCTCTAGTTTCTCCACCCGAATATTAGGTGTTTTTTCTAGACTGCAGTTGCATCCATAGCGAGTACATCTGTCTTTGACCTTCCTCCCTAGATTGTGATTATGTCCAGAGTAGGGCTTCTTAATCTCTTCACCTAGCATTCTTGGTGTTCATCTGTGTTATGGCATTGAAGAAAGACTGAAGAGATGAAACTCATGGGTTCCTGTAGCTCTGTTTTAAGTTTAGTTTAGTATTCATTGGAGGAAAATGGAATTCGTTAGGTAAAATGATAGTTTTTCCGTTATTTGGGGCACTCTGGGCCACCAGTGGCATAGGTTATTTGAGTTGTTTATGCTTCCTTTGTCCCTTGCTGATTTGGGACCTTGATAGACAGAGTGGGACCATAAGAGGTAGTAGATTGTGAACTGGCCTGCATTCAGTCATCTTTCTATAATTAGAATTGACAGCTACCACCCTTGTTGCCCACCTGTAACACTTCTTACTTTCCTTCTCTGGAAATGAATCTTTGTTTGTGTGTATACACGTGCACACACACACACACACACACATTTTATTAATGTGCCTTATTTGTTAGAGCAGTTTCAGGTTTACAGAAACATGAGGGAAAAATGCAGAGTTCCTATGTATCCCCACAATCCGACTCCCTCCCCCCAGTTTACTCTATTGTTAATATCTTGCTTTACTATGGTACTTTGTTTCAGTGGCGGAGCCACTACCATAGGTCATTGTTGTTTCTTTTTTAAAATATTTTATTTATTTATTTGAGAGAGAGAGCATGAGAGGGGAGAAGGTCAGAGGGAGAAGCAGACTCCCCATGGAGCTGGGAGCCCACTGCAGGACTTGATCCCGCGACTCTGGGATCATGACCTGAGCTGAAAGTAGTCGCCCAACCAATTCAGCCACCTAGCGCCCAGGTCTCTTTTTTTTTTTTTTTTTTTTAAAGATTTTGTTTATTTGTTTTTGAGAGAGAGTAAGCACAAGCAGGAGAAGGGGCAGAGGGTGAAGCAGATTCCCCACTGTGCAGGGATCCCAATGCAGGATTCGATCCCAGGATCCTGGGATCATGACCTGACCCATCCAGGTGCCCTGATAGGTTATTTTTAACTGATGTCCATAGTTTGCTAGTTTACATTAGCATTTATTCTTTGTGTTGTATCTGTGTGTGTGTGTGTGTGTGTGTGTGTGTGTGTTTTAAAGATTTTATTTATTTGACAGATGGAGATCACAAGTAGGCAGAGAGGCAGGCAGAGTGAGAGAGGAGGAAGCAAGCTCCCTGCTGAGCAGAGAGCCCGATGTGGGGCTCGATCCCAGGACCCTGAGATCATGACCTGAGCCAAAGGCAGAGGCTTTAACCCACTGAGCCACCCAGGGGCCCCTATTTTTTTTTTTTTTTTAAGATTTTATTTATTTATTTGAGAGAGAGAGATCACAAGTAGGCAGAGAGGCAGGGAGAGAGAGAGAGGGGGAAGCAGGCTCCCCGCTGAGCAGAGAGCCAGATGCGGGGCTCGATCCCAGGACCCTGGGATCATGACCTGAGCTGAAGGCAGAGGCTTTAACCCACTGAATCACCCAGGCACCCCTTCTGTGGGTTTTGACAAAAGTATGATGACCTATATCCATCATTACATAATCATACAGAATAGTTTCACTGCACTAAAAATCCCCTGTGCTCCACCCATTCATCCTACCCCCAGCCCCCGGTAATCCCTGATTGTTTCATTGTCTCTATACTTTTTGCCTTTTCCAGAATGTCTTGTAATTGGAATCATAGGGTATATAGCTTTGTCAGATTGGCTTCTTTCACATAGCAATATGCATTTAAAGTTCCCCAGTGTTTATTTGTCCTCATTTCTTTTTATCATTGAATAATATTTCGCTGTATGGGTGTATCACAGTTCGTTTATTCATTGGCCCATTGAAGGACGTCTTGGTTGCTTCCAGGGTTTGGTAGTTGTGAATAAAACGGCCATAAACATTGGTGTGCAGATTTTTGTGTGGAGGTAAGTTTTCAGCTTATTTGGGTAGATACCAAGGAGCACGATTGTTGATCACATGGCAGAGTATGTTTAGCATTTAAAGAAACTGTCAGACTGTCTTCCAAGGTGGATGTACCATGTTACCTTCCCAGCAGCACTGAGTGAGAGGTGCTGTTGCTCCATGCGCTCACCAGCATTTGATCCGTAACTTATTTTGAGTTATCTGTGCCTCATCTGCCCCGCACTGATTTGGGACCTTGATGAGTGAAGAGGGATCAGGTAGTAGTAGTAGTAGTAGGTTGTGGACTGACCTCTTTTAGAATTGACAGCTACCACCACTTCCCATTTATGACACTTCTCATCTTCTTCTAGATCTTCTCATCTGGAAATGAATCTTTGCTTTTGTTAGACTTGGATAATAATTGATTCCTTTTTTTCCTTACCACAATTTTATAACAGGTCTGAGAGATGACTACAGGAATATAAGATTGTATTCTGTACCATCCTAGCCACTTAGAGTTAAAATTGGTACCATGTTTTTAATACTGAATTAAAATACTTTATGAAACATCTCATACCAGCCTATGCATTTTTTTCTTACTTGTCAAAGGAATATAATAACTATCATAATTTGTTTTCATAGATTATCTTGATAATGGTAATAATAAAATGGCAATTCAACAAGCAGATAAATTGTTGAAGAAACATAAGGATCTTCATTGTGCTAAGGTAAGGTCATTTTGCTCTTGAGTTACTTATATTTGGTGGGTTATATATTATAATCTTAAAAGGGAAAAAGTGTTAAATCTGTTTAGTGACTCTGTTTTTTCAGGTTTTTTTCCCCCCAGTTTTTTTTTTTTTTTTCTTTTCTTTTTTTTTTTTTTTTAAAGCAGGCTCCATGCTTAGTGTGGAGCCAAACGCAGGACTTGAATTCACATCTCTGAGATAAAGAGTTGCACACTCCACCAACTGGGCCAGCCAGTCACCTCTTTAAGCCATTTATTTTTCTGATTACTTAAATGCCATAAATAGTATTTAATTAAAAGCTAACTATTTGTTTCTTTGGATATTTTGGACATAATTTAGCTAATTTAATTATCTTATATTGATAGGCTTCTTTTTTTAAGCAGTGTTGTGCTTTTTCTTTATTTTTTAGGTAGGTTCCATGCCCAGTGTGGGATTTAAACTCACAAACTTGAGACTGAGCATTGTATGCTCTACAGACTGACAGCCAGGTGCCCCTGTTGTGCCATCTTAATATTACTGAAATAGAAAAGAATCTTTTTTTTTTTTTTTTTTTTTTAAGATTTTATTTACTTGACAGAGAGACACAGCGAGAGAGGGAACACAAGCAGGGCACGTGGGAAGAGGGAGAAGCAAGCTTCCCGCTGAGCAGGGAGCCCAGTGCAGGGCTCGATCTCGGGACCACAACCCGAGCTGAAGTCTGATGCTTAATGACTGAGCCACCCAGGTGCCCCAGAAAGAATCTTGATGTGCTGAAATTTTTAGTAAAATATGGTTTACTTGATTAGCAGCCTAGGTGTACCTTACAACTTATCTTGTGTTTTCAAGTTGGCCTTCTTTGGCTCTTTTTTTTTTTTTTTTGTTAAGATTTTATTTATATGACAGGGAACACAAGTACAGGGAGCAGGAGAGGGTCCCCTCTGAGCAGGGAGTTTGGCTTATATTTTCATTTCTGTCCTTTTAAAACTAATGTTTTTCCTGTGTATCAGGTTTTAAAGGCAATTGGTTTACAGAGAACTGGAAAGCAAGAGGAAGCCTTTACCTTGGCACAGGAGGTGGCGGCCCTTGAACCCACAGATGACAACTCGCTACAGGCACTGACTATTCTTTACCGGGAGATGCATCGACGTGTGTTTCTTTTTCACTGTTTTTAATACTGAGCTGAAGTTTTTGTTTCTTTCCTTTTCTTTTTTCTTAAGATTTATTTATTTATTTTAGAGAGAGAAAGCATGTAAGGGGAGGAGGGCAGAGCGAGAGAAGAGAGACACTCTTAAGCAGGCTTCATACCCAGCTTGGAGCCCAAGGTTGGGCTCCATCTCATGACCCTGAGATCATGACCTGAGCTGAAATTAAGAGTTGGACTTAACTGACTGAGCCACCCAAGTGCCCCAAGCTTTTGTTTATTTCTGATTGAGTTCTGTATTTGTTTCTTTTTGTATGTTTGTTTTTTTAAGATTTTGTTTATTTGTCTTACAGACAGAGATCACAAGTAGGCAGAGAGGCAGGCAGAGAGAGAGAGGGAAACAGGCTCCGAGAGCCTGAGCAGAGAGCTAAGCAGAGAGCCCGACGTGGGGCTCGATCCCAGGACCGCGGTATCATGACCTAAGCTGAAGGCAGAGGCTTTAACCCACTGAGCCACCCAGGCGCCCCTGATTTCTGTATTTGTTCATTTGACTTATCACTCATGTTTTGAGTGGATGGCAATAGGCAAAATAATGCATTGACCAGGATTTACAAAGACCGCAGGATATTTTACATGTATAGTACCCTGAATTGGAATGAAAACTTGAGGTCAGTTTATGACATTTTGATTTACTAAATGGAAGAGTTACCCTTTTTTACTATTTGATATGGAAAATTTCAAACATAAAAAAACCAGAGCAGAATAATAAATCTCACTATCCACCTTAAGTGATCATGTCACATGGCAAATTTTATCTGTATCCCCTCCCCCTGCTAGATTATTTCTAAGCATATTCTATGTAGTCTACCATTTCACCTGCAAATAAAGTTTTTTGTTATTAATTTCTCAAATCTTTTATTATGGAATGATATATATCTTCCATAATACATATTACAGAAGGCACATTTTACATAACACACTAGAATACTTGGTATGGAATAATGAACATTCATGAATCTACCAACCAACTTAAGAAACAGAGCATCATCTATACTGACAGATTCCTATGTGTTCCCTATCAGTTTCACTTCCCCTTTTACATTCCAGCAGGTACTTGCTTTACTGAATATATTTTATTATCTTGCTTTTTTTTTTTTTTTTAAGATTTTATTTATTTATTTCACAGACAGAGATCACAAGTAGGCAGAGAGGCAGGCAGAGAGAGAGAGGGAAGCAGGCTATCCGCGGAGCAGAGAGCCCGATGCGGGGCTCGATCTCAGGACCCTGGGATCATGACCCGAGCCAAAGGCAGAGGCCCCAACCCACTGAACCACCCAGGTGCCCCTATTATCTTGCTTTTAAAAAATCTTTATCACATTTATTTTTCTAAGTAATACTTTATTAATTTTGCTCAGTTTTGACTTAAAAACTTTTGCCCTCGGGGCACCTGGGTGGCTCAGTCGGTTAGGCGTCTGTCTTCAGCTCAGGTTATGATCCCAGAGTCCCAGGATTGAGTCCACATTGGGCTCCCTGCTTGGTGGGGACTCCGCTTCTCCCCATGCCCCTCACCCAACTTGTGCTGTCTCTCATTCTCTCTCAAATAAATGGGTAAAATCTTAAAAAAAAAAAAAGTTTTGCCCTCAAACCATCATGTTGTGTACCTTAAAGTATACAATTTTTGTCAGTTATTCCTCAATAAAGCTGGAAAAAATAAAATTTTGCTAACCTAGTAGAAAGAAATGTTACTTTATAGTTTTGTTATTCATTTTTTTTAAAGATTTTATTTATTTGAAAGAGAGAGCGCGCACTCGAGCAGAAGGGGAGGGGGGAGAGGGCGAAGCAAACTTCCCGTTGAGCAGGGTGCCCAATGTGGGGCTCGATACCAGGATTCTGGGATCACGACCTGACCCGAAGGCAGACACTTACCTGGCTGACCTACCCAGGTGCCCCTTGTTTTTAATTTTTAAAGACAGAATTTAAGAGTTGGGGATTATATCTGACTATTTAGGGATTATGTTGATTTAGAGATACAGTTTCTCCCCGTGTTTTTTAAAAAATCATTTATTTCACAAATATGAATGTTTCTCTGTGAAAAGTATTGTATCCAAGTCAAAGATGAAAGGGGGTCTCTCTGCCCCTGTGTTACTCACAGTCCATAAGGGGAAATTCATGGGTAACTGGTTGGCTCAGTCAGTAGAGCATGTGACTCTTGATCCTCAGGGTCGTGGGTTCAAGCCCCACATTGGATGTAGAGCTCAATTAAAAAAAAATAAGGAAATTCATGAAAGGACTGTATTCTACATTATGTGTTAATAAATGTTTTAAGAGACTTATTTACAAAATTTTAAAGATGGCAGAAGGAAGCTGTGATCAGACTCGGTGGAGGTGCAGAGATGGTGTTCAGGGAAGGATTACATTTGAACTTTTCACAGTTCCTTGCAATGAGGATAACATTTGGGCTGGGTCTTGGTCTTGGATGATGTTCACTGAGTAGAAAAGAGAGGAAAGGAGAATCCAGGCAGAGGGAACAGAGTAAAGGCGTGGGGAGGTATGATACAGCACAGGGGGTTGTTCAGCGTGCTGGAACACTAAGTGCTGCGGGAAATAAGTACGAAGGTGACAGAGAGGCTGAATCCTGAGGGGTCTTATTTATATTGTAAATGTGTTGGGAGGCCTGAGCTATTTCATGCTTAATCAGCTAACACCCAACCAAGAGAAGAGTAATGATCAGATGAGGCAAAACAAATACTTTCTTCTTCCTTAGTGACAAGAGACATCTATTTCCTCCAAAGAGGGGAAAAAATTAAATGCTATTAAGATTTAAGGTATACTTCATGGGCGCCTGGGTGGCTCAGTGGGTTAAGCCACTGCCTTTGGCTCAGGTCATGATCTCAGGGTCCTGGGATCAAGTCCCGCATCGGGCTCTCTGCTCAGCAGGGAGCCTGCTTCCCTCTCTCTCTCTCTCTCTCTCTGCCTGCCTCTCTGTCTACTTGTGATCTCTCTCTGTCAAATAAATAAATAAAAATATAAAAAAAAAAGATTTAAGGTATACTTCAATAATTAAAGAATATCCTATTTCTCTTTATCCTAGCGGAGTTAGTTACAAAACTCTATGAGGCAGCTGTGAAGAAAGTTCCCAATAGTGAGGAGTATCACTCTCACCTCTTCATGGCTTATGCCAGAGTGGGCGAATATAAGAAAATGCAACAGGTAACTTGATTCCAAACCTCCGGGATTGTGGGATTTGCCATTAGATACAAGTCTCCTTAAATGCGACTTAATTGTAGGAATGTGTGTGCATGTATGTGGATGTTTGCATCTGTGTGTAGAGCTGAATCTGTGTTTGTGTGTGGAAATCAGGCAGATACTTTCTTTGTGTTTTGTTTTTTTTTTTCCTTTGTGTGTTTTAAAGATGAACTATATTCAGGTTCTTTGTTTTATTTGGGGGAAATCTGGTTGTTCTTTGGTGTCCTGGTGCTATGCTTTCTTTGGTTCCGGTAAGTTGGCTTCAGATTGTCCCAGTGCATGAGATTGCTGTTGTATTTTCAGAAAATGAGCAGAAATCCCAGAACAAAAAATGAACAGACTATAGAAAGATTAAAGTTTGCATCTACTTTGTAAATTTAACTCCTTGTAGCCTGTTGAGATTTTTAAATCCACTGGGGAAAACTTCCCACTCTTTGGATATTTGTCTTTTTTGCCAGAGGTAGCTTATTCTCCAGTTAGCACATTTTTGATGTTCCATGTATTTAGATGCATGTGAAGAAGTCCATTTGGACTAGTGGGTGGGTAAAGTCAACATCCCAGAGAAGTGAGACTCTTAAGCCCATAAAGGGTTATGATGTCAAACTAGTATTTTTTTAGAAATGGCTTTGTTTGTGGTTATGATTTTTTTCTGAAAGCAAGGCTTTCTTACTTGTGTTTTGTTTTGTCTTATTCTTTACTTGAAATATCAGACTATCACAGTAGATAAATTAGGGAGCATGGAAGGTACTATATTAATATAAATCCTTTCTCCTTAAAATTAATCTTTGTTTATAAAAGTTTTTAAATTACAAGATTTTTTTTTTCCCCCAAATAAAAATTTTTGAAGGTGTTTTATTTACTGATGGATTTTATTCTCAGGAAAAATATGCAGAGATTATAATTTTTCTTTTAATGCAAAATGAGTATATATTTTTAAATTGGCAACAGTAACATGTATGTATGTAAATCTTTAATATCATTTTTACTAATGTGCTTGCTTCGGCAGCACATATACTAAAATATTTTTACTTCTAGGAATATGTTTTAAGTAAAATATATTAAATGTCCATTAATACAGGTAGAGTTAAAGGAATTATGCTTCATCCACATGGTAGAATAAAATGCAACACCCCACTTCCCCTCGAATAGTATTATGTCTCTGTCTTATATCTCTAAGGGAATGTACCAAAATGTTACCAGGATATAGGCCTATGATACTTTTCTTTCTCTTAATTTCTTTTTTTTTAAAGTATATGTTAATTTTATGATCCCACAAAACATATTTTTGAACTATGTTTATTATATATACATGCAATAAAATAAAAAGGACAAGTATGTGCAATGACAATATTAGGGTAAATTTTGAACGAAGGAGAAAATAATCTGCCACTTGAACAACTTTTTTTTTAAAACAGTTGAACTTTACATGTTGGCAGAGATACACATATACTTTTGCATCCTGCTCTTTGGAGCCACTGCTTTGATGTGGCTTAATAGTCATTGTAGCTGTAGCTTGTTATTTTGTTGTTTGTTTTAAAGATTTATTTATTTGAGAGAGAGGAGAGTGAGCAAGAGAGAGAAGAGGATCAGGGGGAGGGGCAGATGGAGAGGGAGAAGCAGACTCCTCAGAGCAGTGAGACATGGGGCTTGATGACATGTGGCTGGATCATAGGACTCTGGGATCATGACCTGAGCCAAAGGCAGACACTTAATCAAGTGAGCCACCCAGTCACTCTGTGATAGCTTGTTTTAGATTATTCCATGCTAATATATTGGAAGAATGGAGCATTCTGGTGTTAAATGTTTCAGAATGAAATGTCTTATTTTTGTTTTACCTCTTTTGCTGCTTAAGATAGTTACAGTTTCTTAGTTTTTGTGTATGTTTATTTTGAAAGTGGTATGTCAGTCTGGGTAGAAGGTAGTTTACAAATTAAATGTCATGTTTCTTGAGGGTAAGCATTTCTGTTTTGTTCACTGTGGAACCTCAGTGCCTAGAATAGCATCTACACAATAAATTTTTGATAAATGATTTGCATTAACTTGTGGAGGTAAAAAAGAGAGGGAAGCCAGGGAATCAGAAAACTTAAGGATTTCTGCTGTCCCAAATGACATACATCCCTGGCAGGTAATATTTAAAATCATCTTTTTTTTTTTCTTTTTAAATATTTTATTTATTTATTTGACAGAGAGAGAGAGAGAGAGAGATCACAAATAGGCATAGAAGCAGGCAGAGAGAGAGGGGGAAGCAGGCTCTCCACTGAGCAGAGACCCCGATGCAGGGCTTGATCCCAGGACCCTGAGATCATGACCTGATCCAAAGGCAGAGGCTTAACCCAGCCGCCCCTTAAAATCATCTTGAATGAAGATTTGCTATGGGTTCAAAGGTGATTGGACTTTTCTTTTTCTATAAATGACATTCCTTCGTTCATTTGTTTTTTGACGTTCCTGTATTGAGTCTCCAGTTCACGGTAGTGTTTTTTATTTTTTAGTTTTATTTTTAAAAAAGATTTTATTTATTTATTTATTTATTTGATAGACAGAGATTACAAGTAGGCAGAGGGGCAGAGAGAGAGAGAGGAGGAAACAGGCTCCTGGCCAAACAGAGAGCCCAATGCGGGGCTCGATCCCAGGACCCTGGGATCATGACCTGAGCCGAAGGCAAGAGGCTTTAACCCACTGAGCCACCCAAGTGCCCCTTTATTATTTTTTTTAAGATTTTATTTATTTATTTGACAGAGAGAGAGAGCACAAGCAGGGTGAGAGGGAGAGGGAGAAGCAGACTCGCTGCAGAGTAGGGGAAGCCTAATACAGGGCTGGATCTCAGGACTCCGGAATCATGACCTGAGCTGAAGGCAGTGGCTTAACCAACTGAGCCACCCAGGTGCCCCTCACAGCCATGTTTTTTAAACTTGTGTGTCTTCAGAAGTTTTCTGTATCAGCGGAGTATCAGTGTTTGCAACATAGTATAGGGTGCAGGCATGAAATTTTTGTCTTATTTTTTTTGTATGAAAAGTTCATATTAATTTTATATTCTCCTTTTTTATTTCTGTATGTCATTATAAAAATGTTTTCTTTCCCCAGATGATCAAGTAAAATTGGTTTTCTAGCACTTTTCATTCCATTCCTCCAGGGTTTGGTGTTAGAAGCAGGGACCTTAAGCCATCTTAGACTCTCCTTTTTTTCTTTATTCTTTTTTTTTTTTTTTTTTTAAGATTTTATTTATTTGTGAGAGAGAGAGGGAAAGCAGGAGAGAGCATGAGCAGGGGGAGGTACAGAGGCAGGGGGAGAAGCAGACTGTCCACTCAGCAGGGAGCCTTAGTCAGGGCTCCATCCCAGGACCTTGAGATTATGACCTGAGCCAAAGGCAGATGCTTAACCAACTGACCCCCCACCCCCACCCACAGGTGCCCTTTACACTCTCCTTATTCTGTATTGTCCATTTTGTCTCTAAATCATCTTGACTCTTTCTCTACAGTGTCTTTGAGGTCTCTTTGCTGTTTGATCTACCTCATCCTGGTTTAGTTCCTCATTGCCTCATCTCCTATTTTTTTCCTTCATGGTACAGCTAAAATACTCTTTCTAGAAGAATATAGATGTGTACATGTAACTCCCTTATTCTATATAACAGACTCCTTTTTGAGTGCTTCACAACCAGGTTATCTGTTACCCTTTGGCCCTTTCCCCCCACCAGTCCTCTTAATCCTTATTTATAGCCAAACATCCTATTTTTTCTTGTCAACATGTCTTTTCTTTCTTTAATATTTTTGTTCAGATTCATTTTGCTTCTACCTGGAATTGATTCATTCATTTAGCCGCTCACCCCAAATGTTTGTATTTGTGTATATGTATCCTTAACCCCATCTTTGCCTGTAGACATTCTGTTCGAGCTTCAAGGTTCATGTGAAAGACCGCTACTTTGAAGAAGACTTTATGATTAAATTCCCTTCCCTACTTTCCTTTCAAGAAAGAAAAAGAAAGGAATGAACAAACTTAACCATGCCTTTTTTGGAGACAAAAAAGCATTGTATTTTTGTATAGGATATTTAATTTTTTGCCAAGTATTATTTTAGTCATTTGAATATTTGTCTTATCACTTTCCCTGGCTTTTAAGTGTGTTTGGGACCAGGACTCAATCTCTGTATCATGGGCAGGTATTAATAGACATTTCCTTCCACTTAATAGGGACTCCATGTAATTTTTCAAGTGGATTGAAGATAGGCAAAAGATTTTAAAAAATTTAACAGTGACAATTAGCTGAGTTCTTAGAATTGATTACTAATTGGCTAATTATGGACAGATTCTCAGTTATACATGAATAGATCTGTTTTGTTCCTTGTTGCCATGTCCCTGCTTTTAAGTATTTCAAATTATACATTTCACAAAGAAAGGGTTCAGTTCTAGTTAATGGTATTTTGAAAGAACCTGATTATTTTCCTAACCTAGGAATTAATATTTTTTTAATAATGTCAGAGTTAAGTTTTCTGCTTTTAAGTATAAATATACTGTCTGGATTTTTTTATTTGTTTTACTCTAACTGGTTAGTACAGTATTTTTAGGTAAGTTTGTTGGTGTACATTCATAAGCCAAATTGTGTTTGTTGGTAGTCTGTCAGAAGCATATTGGATTACTGTGCTTTCCAAAAATAATGGCCTTTAATTTGAAGAAATCTGGTTCAAAAGGTGAAATATTCCTGATGATATAAAAATTCACCTTTGTGATTACCTATATTGGTATCCATAGAGAATATCCATCAAGCCACTAGGCACTTAAAGTAACTCTCTAGATCTCTAATTGCCCTCTGTATGATGTTTTCTAAATTAAGTATTTATGGCTCTCTGTCTTTCAGGCTGGCATGGCTCTATATAAAATTGTCCCCAAAAACCCTTATTACTTTTGGTCTGTGATGAGCTTAATTATGCAAGTGAGTATGGCATTTAGAATGGCATTGAGATTTGTTTTTATTTTTGTATATAGTTATTTGTCCTTGTCTTCTGAACAGCTTGGGTAATGTGTTGCATCATGTGTCAGACAGGGACTTTACATACTGTCAGTTGACTTTTTGAGTTGGGGGGTTTGGTATTTATTCCTCATGAGTTGGTATATCAGTTTATTTGTGTGTAGCACAGACTGTATTTCCCCTGAATCTTAGATCCATTACTGGGTTATTTGATTAAGTATGAGCCTCGAAATATTTGATATTTTGCTTGAGGGTTTTCTTTAAGACAATACTGTTTAGTGAACATGTTATTGAACTGGATGGCCTTGTTTTACCAATTCTGGTTTTTGAACCTCAGTTTGCTCTTCTGCAGAATAGAGATCCTTATCTCCCAGAGCTACTGTCAGGACCAAAAAGGAGATAGTGTGTAAGAGAAGATGGAAAGAAAAGAGTTAAAATGTAGCCGTTAAGTCAGAGAGGCTCTGGGTGCAGACAGGTTTACGTTCATATATTGGATTCAGGACATGTCTTAGAGACATGGGGAATCTCTTAGTTTAGCTACGAAATAAGCATGATAGCTACCTTGAGCTACTGAGCTCTGAGCAGAATCTCAGGCAATGTTAAAATTATTAATATGCTTTGATTTTAATTATCAATCTAAGATAATCTTAATTTTTGAAACTAGTTAATACTAGGCTGTATAAATGGAAGGTATTGGCCTTTTCCCTCCAATATGTGAGCATCTCAGAAGGACATCTGAAGGGCTTTTCTCTTCAAACACCTGATGATACCTTTTACATATAATGAGCAGTATAGGCATACGCCCTCTTAACATAGTTCTAGAAAAATGTATGAATAACCTATTTAAAAGTTAGGCCATTTAAAAGTTTATTTTAGTTTATATAGGCCATTTAAAAGTTATGGTGGAAATCTGGTTTGTCAAAAATGTATAGAATAAGGAATCTTTAACAAATCTCTTCTAAGGCAAACCACTCTAATGTGTCTTCGTGGCAAGTTCAAATTAGGTCTAATATTTGACGGGCTGGACTGATAATTATGTGCTGGGGTCACGGTAATGGTCTGCCTGGTAATATAAATAGTGCAAGCGGGGGAGAAATTAGAATGAAACATTTACTTTTTGTCCTATAGTCTATATCGGCACAGGATGAAAACCTCTCAAAAACGATGTTTTTGCCCCTTGCTGAAAGAATGGTAGAAAAAATGGTGAAAGAAGACAAGATAGAGGCCGAGGCTGAAGTGAGTAATGGAAGTCCTACAAAAGCCCTCCTTTTGTATTCACATGAGTTTGATATTGCTACAATATTATGTATTATAGTAGTATAGTATTATAAACTGCTGTCTTACTCCAGAGAGAGCTGGGTCCTCATTCTTGCCTTTTGTATAAATATGAAGTTTTAGGCTTAAGTATAATGAACATTCTTACTGCTGATTTCATCTCATTTGAAGATAGTGTTCTTTTCTCTTGATATTTTAAAAATTAAATTAAAATTTAGTTTTTTTAAGTAGGCTCTATACCCACAATGGAGTCCAAGGCAAGGCTTGACTTCATGACCTTGATATCAAGACCTGAGCTGATACCAGGAGTCCAACATTTAACTGTCTGAGCCACCTAGATGCTCCTAGATAACTTTTTAAAAGCATGCAAACGATTGTTCTTATTGAAAAGTTTTGATCGTTGCATTTCTTATTTGTTTCTTTTGTAAGGTTGAACTTTATTATATGATCTTGGAACGTTTGGGAAAGTACCAGGAAGCCTTGGATGTTATCAGAGGAAAATTAGGAGGTAATTTTTAAAGATTTCTTAAAGTTTTTTTTCCTTCTATTTAAACAAGAAAAAAATATTTTTAAAGACTTCATTTATTTATTTGAGAGAGAGAAAGAAAACAGAGAGGAAGCACAGCTGGGTGGCAGAGGGAAAAGCAGACTCCCTGCTGAGCAAGGAGCCTGACTTGGGGCTTGATTCTAGGACGCTGAGATCATGACCTGAGCAGAAAAGAAGGCAAATGCTTAACTGACTGAGCTACCCAGGGTGCCCCACACATGAAAAATATTTATTGTGGAAAATTTCTTCCTTATACAGAAACATAAAGATATAAAGACATAAAAAAATCACTTGTTTAATGTTCTTTAAGATTTTCCTGTATGTTATACATTTACTTCTAGAAAATATTTTATTTTTTAAAGATTTTATTTATTTGTCAGAGAGAGAGAGGGAGACAGCACAAGGAAGGAAACAGCAGGCAGAGGGAGAAGCAGACTCCCTGTTGAGCAAGGAGCCTGATGTGGAACTTGATCCCAGGACCCTGGGATCGACCCTGTGCCAAAGGCAGACACTTAGCAACTGAGCCACCCAGGTGTTCCTAAATAATATCATAAAATTGAAAATAATTCATGGATTCAGTAAATTTAAGATGTGTGAAAGAAAGATTATACCCCAGATCTCCAGTCTTTTGTCCTGTAGGTTCTTTGCCAGTTAACTTGTTCTGTGTATCCTTCTATAGATGTACTTTTTCCCTCCTTCTTCTTCCTCTCAGTTTTTTCTTTCTTACTTTTTTTTTTTTTTTTTTAAGATTTTATTTGTCAGAGAGAGTCAGTGCACAAAGCAGGGGGAGTGGCAGGCAGAGGGAAAAGCAGGCTCCCCTCATCAAGGAGCCCAATGTGGGACTCCATCCCAGGACCCTGGGATCATGACCATGAGCCTGAGTTAAGCAGATGCTTAACTGAGCCACGCCACCCCCAAATCACAATTCAAATCGTGAATTGAGAACCTACTCTACCTAGCTCATAGAGTAATCTTACTCAGTTGACACAATGTTTCTTTTTTCTTTTTTCTTTTTCTTTTTTTTTTTTTTTGCAGTCTGAAGAATACTTTATAGACCCTACTATGATACAAACTTCAACCCTTCCCTTGTCCCTTCACAATCAACCCTCCGATAAGATAGCTAACATTGTAGAAATCCCACATTTTGAGATCCCAGGAGTGGGTTGACACAATGTTTCTATTAAAAAATTTTTTTCTTGAAGATCTTTTAAAATTAATTAGTGTTTATTTTTTAAGATTTTATTTATTTGACAGAGAGCATAAGCAAGGGGAGTGGCAGGCAGAGGGAGAGGGAGATTTTATTTATTTATTTATTTATTAGGGAGAGAGCAAGAGAGTGAGTGTGAGCTGGGGGAGGAGCAGAGGGAGAGAGACAAGCAGACTCCATTCTGAGTGTGGAGCCAAGTGCAGGGATCAGTCGCAGGACCCTGAGATCTAGACCTGAGCTGAAACCGAGTTGGACGCTTAAACAGCTGAGCCACCCAGACACACCAAGCTTTCTTTCTTTCTTTCTTTCTTTTTTTTAATAAGCTCGACACCCAACATGGGGCTCAAACTCAGAACCCCGAGATCAAGAGTCACATGCTCTACTGACTGAGCCAGCCAGGTGCCCCTATGTCAAACTTTAATGTTTTTTAATCTGATAAAACATTTTACAACTTTTATTTAATTCTGAGGGAAGATCATTTTTTTATTTGTTTAAAAGCCATTATATTTTCTTTGAGCTTCTTTTCTTTTTTCCTTTTTTTTTTTTTTTTTTGATTTTATTTATTTAACAGAGAGCACAAATAGGCAGATCCACAGGGAGAGGGAGAAGCAGGCTCCCCATGGAGCAGGGAGCCCAGGGTGGGGCTTGATCCCAGGACCCAGGGATTATGACCCGAGCTGAAGGCAGACACTCAACCCATTGAACCACTCAGGCGCCCCATCCTTTGCCTGTTTCTGAAAATGTGGTTAATCATAATGATTTGCAAGAGCATTTTATATGTTAAAAAAGTTAGCTCTTTTCCATTGTAGTGAAAATACTTCTTCCCTTTTTGTTGGAAAACTTACATGTAGAAACTTCATAGATTGATCTAACCATTCCCCTTTGAAGATGTTTATGACGATTTAGGTTCCTAACAATTATCCTTTTTTTTTTTTTTAAGAGAGAGAAAGAGAGATAGAGCAGGAATACAAGCAGGGGGAGTGGAAGGGGAGAAGCAGTCCTCCCAACGAGCGGGGAGCCCTCCCAACGAGCGGGGAGCCCTCCCAACGAGCGGGGAGCCCAATGTGGGGCTCGATCTCAGAACCCTGGGATCATGATCTGAGTGAAGGTAGATGCTTAACGACTGAGCCACCCAGGTGCCCCACATTTACCCATTTTTGATGATTTCCTTAGGAGAAAGTCCTAGAAATCCAGTGTTGTTTTGACAAACCTGGTTTTTAATTATGCCTTTACAGTCATTGGGGGAATCTAACTGTAGATGAGTAGCCTCAGATTTCTCATTAGGAATCATTTATTTTTTTATTTTATTTATTTATTTTTTTTAAAGATTTTATTTATTCATTTGACAGAGAGAGAGATCACAAGCAGGCAGGGAGGCAGGCAGAGAGAGAGGAGGAAGCAGGCCCTCCGTGGAGCAGAGAGCCCGATGCGGGGCTTGATCCCAGGACCCTGGGATCATGACCTGAGCCGAAGGCAGAGGCTTTAACCCACTGAGCCACCCAGGTGCCCCCTCATTAGGAATCATTAAAAAATTTTATTTCAGGGATGTCTGAGTGGCTCATTTGGTTAAGCATCTGCCTTTGGCTCAGGTCATGGCCCAGGAAGGATCCTGGGATCAAGTCCCTCATCAGGCTCCTTGCTTAGCAGGAAGCCTGCTTTTCCCTCTTCTTGCCACTCCCCCTGCTTGTCTACTCTCTCTCTGACAAATAAAATAATAATAAAATAAAATAATAAAATAAATAATAAAATAATAAAATAATTAATAATAAAAATAATAAAATAACTTTATTTCATACAGGTATGTATAATCTTTACTTGACTGTGTGTGGTCAAAAAACTAATGCTGTTAACTAATTATATAAAATGAGGAGTTTTGCTATTTCTTTTTTTTACAGATTTATTTATTTGAGAGAGAGAAAGTGAGCATGAGTTGGGGGACAAGGGAAGGGGCAGAGGGAGAGGGAGAAGCAGACTCTGTACTGAGCGGGAAGCCTGACCCCATGGGCTGATCCCAGGACCCTGAGGGTGCTTAACCAATTGAGCCACTTAGGCACCACCCCCGGCTTTTTTTTTTTTTTTTAAGATTTTATGTATTTATTGTTTTAATGTTGCTTATCTTTAATTCTTTAATTTCAGCCTCCTCGCAGATGGGTGAAGTCAGCCTTTCTGTTTTTACCCAGCTGGATTATAGTTTAGGATAGTTAAAATGAAGATTATCTGTAGGAAATTCATAATGTGGTTGTTGGTATCCGTAATTTGCTAAGCTGTTTTGAAAGGTCGGGGTAAATCTCATTTGGTCAGAAATAGTAGTCATAGTTTTTCTGTTCCTAGCTGTTGGGAAAGGTATTTGATTCATCTCTGTTCATTTTTGTATTGCTCCTAACTTCTCACCTGGCTCATCCCATTCCAGTCCGAGCTCATTCAATGTTCTGGAACTGTTTGTGTAGATGGGAAGTCTGTCTCTGGACCAAATATACTAGTTCCTAAATGCTTTTGGGGTTTTATAAGTGTATCCCATGTATTAGATCCTCAACTCAGTACATTCTGGATCCTTATAGTTTATAGGAAAAATGATTATAAAAGTTTAGTATCAGAAATTTATTTTTTTCTTTTCAGGAAAATAATAAGATAATAGTTTGTATCTACTAGTGGTCCCATTTTCTAAGAGAGGGAGTAAGAAAATGTGACATTTTCCTTCTTGTGTTTGGACTTTATTCTGCTTTCTGAGGAAAAATGAAACCAGCTTACCAATTTTTATAACTTTTTTTTTTTTTTTATAACTTTTAATTGTAGAGAAGTTGACGAGCGAGATTCAGAGTCGGGAAAATAAATGCATGGCTATGTATAAGAAGCTGAGCAGGTGGCCAGAGTGCAATGCCCTTTCCAGGCGCCTCTTACTGAAAAAGTGAGTAGATGGTTCTCTCTGGGCCATGAGACTGGAGTGGGGCTCTCAGGTGTCACTACTGAATTTTTTTTTTTTTAATCTGTTGTCTTTTATATTTCCTGGGCATAAATCTTGCAGTAGTGTGGCCTAGGTATTTTTAAAAGTTTTTTGATGAAACTTTATTTTTCAGTAAAGGGGTATAATGGAACTTAAGCCATCAGAGTGCGAAGTATTACGTCTTCAGAATGAATGCTAAAAATCATTAATTTGTAAAAATCATTAATTTGTAATAAAGTAAAGTTTACTTAGATTTACTTAAATTCAGTATTGGTCTAAAAGAAACATGTGTGTTGTGTTGTCCCCCCCCCCCCCGCCCTCCGCCACCGGCTGCCCATTTTGAGGAAGTACTAACATGGGAGTTTTCTGTTAAGAATATTAGTTTTCTGGACCTGTTTATTTCATTTGAAGGAAATAACTTTTTCCTAAAAGTTTTTTACTCTGAACACGCCTCTCAAATTCCTTTTTCGGGTGGCAGAGGAAACTCAGAGGGTTGGGGTTCTCCTCGTAAAGACTAAAATGTAACCTAGAAAATAAATTGAGTATCGTGGTTCCTAGGGCAGACTTGTCACAACTTGGGTTTAATCCTGTGTGCACCATTCAATCTGATTTTAGCTCAGATGACTGGCAGTTCTATCTGACTTATTTCGATTCTGTCTTTCGACTGATTGAAGAGGCATGGACTCCTCCTGCTGAAGGTGAACAGTAAGTTGACTCCTTTCCTGAATTACAGTGGCACTTTTTAGCATGCTGTAGCAAAATGATTTCATTGGAAGCCTAATAGAATTCTTTTTTTGGTCTCAGTAGTATGTTCCTTTCAAAGTAAGATATTTCATTTTTTTACAGTTACAAAATAAATGTGTTCATTGTAAGAAATCTTAAAACTAAGTGCAGAAATGTATGGTGTAGAAAGTGTTCCTAAATATCTTATCACCCCAGAAATAACATTTTTTCCCCACTTTTGTTGAGATATAATTGACTCAGAGATTTTTTTTTTTTTTTTTTTTAAAGTAAGTTCTACACGCAGTGTGGGGCTTGAACTCGTGACTTCTGAGCCCAAGGTCAAGTCGCATGCCCTGCCAGCTGAGCCAGCCCGGTGCCCCCAGAGATAACTCTTGATGGCAGTTTAGAGTCCTTTCTTCCAGATTTATTTTGTCAACATACTAATGTAATTATTCTCATTATTTAACATAAAAATGCAGTTATATGAGACATAATGGTTTACAACTTGGTATTTTCTCCCTTAAAATATATCTTGGGCATCTTCCATATATGGTATATATAGATTCGTTTCATTCTTTTTAGTGACTTAAGACAACTCTACTTTAGAGATGTAATTCATTTAACCTGTTTCCCATTGATGGACTGTTGAACACTTGGATTGTTGCTGGTTTCCTTTTTTTTTTTCCTTTGCTATTCTAGACAAAAACACAAACATAAATGGGATCTTTTTAAAAAGTAAGGATTTAAGGTGGTGATGAGCTGATGCTTACTTTGTAATATTAACTGAGTGATCTCATTTTTCTCAGTCTTCATTCTTAAAGCAATAAAGTAAAGTTTACTTAGATTTTTTTTAATCAGGCAATATTGTATATATATAAAGTTATCCATTCTTTCTTTTTCTTTTTCTTTTTTTAAAAGGTTTTATTTATTTATTTGACAGAGAGGGAGAAGCAGGCTCCCCGCTGAGCGGAGAGCCCGATGTGGGGCTTGATCCCAGGACCCTGAGATCATGACCCGAGCCGAAGGCAGAGGCTTAAGCCACTGAGCCACCCAGGCGCCCCTCCATTCTTATTTTAAAGAAAGAGGTAGAGGTAACTAGTCACAGTTCAGTAATCAGATGCCAGAATTGGGAGTAATCCTTTGCCATGTTAGTTGTCAGAATGTGCTCATAGTTCTCTTTTACTCCCTTACTATTTTATAATTATCAGAGTGATTTTTATTTTTTAATTTGTTTCTTGAAGTCAATTTGGCTTCACTTTTAAGTTTTAGGATGGACAGTAGAGGTACAAAATACCTTTTTCCATGTGTGTTTATACCTAGCTCTTTAGAAGGAGAAGTGCATTATTCTGCAGAAGAAGCTGTGAAGTTTATAGAAGATCGGATAACAGAAGAATCTAAAAGTTCCCGCCATCTCCGAGGACCACATCTTGCTAAACTTGAACTGATTAGACGTTTAAGACGTCAAGGTTTTAATGATGAGTACAAATTGGGTAAGAACCCTTAATATGATTTGGGAACTTTGGAGAAGATACAGGGATGCCCTCCATACCCAGGTGCAGTATTCATTCTCTGAGGTCTGTGATGATGAAGTCATCCTTAGGAAGCAAATATCTTCATAACCTGAAAATATTTACTCATGAATAGATTACTGTACCGTTATCTCTCATGTCTTCAACTCAACATTAGCATCTCTTCCTTTTTCACTAGCGTCTTTATCAGGCATTCTTTTTTGACTCAACATTAATGTCAAAATCAATTTCACATTATAATAGCCAGTTTTGTAAAAAATGGTTTCAAGATTTCATGAAGTGGATGAAAGGTTTCTTGAAAATCTGCTTCAAGCACTCACAAAACCATTGATGAAAGAACATCTGGCAGAGTTAGAACAATTAACAGTTAAGAGAAGATTTATAAGGACAATGACAGGATAGGAGGAAAACATGATTCAGATAATAAAGCATGAAGAGAGGCCTTCAGGAAAGTTGAGGAACCCCTTAGATGTTTTTTTGAAAACGATGGATGTCATATTATGCTAATTCACAGTTTTGTTGGAAAATGGCACCCTTCTCCTCAAAAAGCGGTAATTCTTTGCTCATACTAAGACTTAGTTTATGGTTTAGTTATAGCCTAAATTTTAAGATAATAAACTTTCTTAATTTTTTATTTTCTTTTTTTTAAGATAAAGCTCCAAAGGAACCCCCCCCCACTTATCGTTATGAAAATTTGGTTCTCATTAAAAGAGGTTGCTTTTTGGCACCAGTTGTCCTGAGATGATGAGCACTTCCAGTATCTAAAGATACTTCAGTATCTTAGATCATCTCATTTTAATCATCTAATTAATGCTCTTTGCAGCTTATTATTATTATTATTTTTTAAGATTTTATTTATTTGATTGCGAGACAGTGAGAGAGAGCATGGGAGGTGAGAAGGTCAGAGGGAGAAGCAGACTCCCCATGGAGCTGGGAGCCTGATGCGGGACTCAATCCTGGGACTCCGGGATCCTGACCTGAGCCCAAAGACAGTTGCTTAACCAACTGAGCCACCCAGGCATGCTTTGCAGCTTATTCTAAAATTAACTGTGGGCTTCTCTCATTCCCTTCCTAGAGTTTTCACAACCAGTTTTGAACTCCGTGTTGACTTCTTTAGGTCTACTTCAGGAACCTTAGTCTCACAGAATTGCCAATGAAAATTTTCGTTTGATACTTAGCTGATCCCCAGCAAATGTTAACATAGATTCCATTCTTTCCAAAGTTAGATATAAAAGTATTTGGATCTAGGGGCACCTGAGTGGCTGTGGGTTAAGCCTCTGCCTTCAGCTCAGGTCATGATCTCAGGGTCTTGGGATCGAGTCCCACATCGGGCTCTCTGCTCAGCAGGGAGCCTGCTTCCCCTTCTCTCTCTGCCTACTTGTGATCTCCCTCTCTCTGTCAAAAAAAAAAAAAAAAAGGTATTTGGATCTGTGTTGGCACTTGCTGTGTCCATCTTATGTCTTTCTCTTCCTTCTTTCCACCCTGCATAAGAGGGATTTGTGTTTATCTAGTCACCACCGTTGTTTTTTTTTGTTTTTGTTTTTTTTTTGTTGTTGTTGTTGTTGTTGTTGTTGTTTTTGAAGTAAGCTCTGCCTGCAACATGGGGCTTGAACTCACAACCCCAGGATCAAGATTCACATGCTGTATGGACTGAACCAGTCAGGCACCCCTCCACAAAATTTTTTTTTTTTTAAGATTTTATTTATTTGAGAGAGAGCATGAGTAGGGTGAAGGGCAGAGGAAGAAGCAGACTCCCCGCTGAGCCGGGAGCCCAACACAGGGCTCCCAGGACCTTGGGATCATGACCTGAGCCAAAGGCAGACACGTAACCAACTGAGCCACCCAGGCGCCCCCACAAAACTTTTTTTACACAGATCAGTAAGTGATTCTTAGTGTCTTGGATCAGCGTCCTTTGAGAATCTGATCAAAGCCATGGACTTTAGTTCTCTGAAATGTGGACAGAAACCAAGACCTAAAATCTTACAGAAACTCTGGTTTAATTTGAGAACATTTTATTTTTTATTATTTTATTTTTTGTTTTTAATTGTGTTTTTAATTTGAGGAAAAATAAAAGGCACTGGTAGCTTCTGTAGATCCATGTTTAAATTTTCCACAGTGAGTGATCTTGTTGAGAGTTACTGGCTTGTACTCTTCCCATTTTCTCTTGTGTTGTGCATGTGAAACATTTAATACTTCCAAGAACTGTGGAAAGAAGCATGTTTGTTTAATGTTTGTATATAAATTTCAGTCTTTATTTAAATTTTAATGAAAACTTTTTAGGTATTTAAACTTTAATTAATGAAAAGTGTCACATTTCCCAAGTGTAATAACAAGTAAACTAGTTGAGATTGTAAGATTCAGCTCGTTTTTGAAATACATGTTTAAACGGGCAAGCCATCCTGCAGCCCTCATTGTCATTCTCATTCAAGTATTCAAGCAAAATTATATTTATTTTTTTTAAGTTTTTATTTATTTATTTGAGAGAGAGACAGAGCACGAGCTGGGGATGGGGCAGAGGGAGAAGCAAACTCTCCATTGATCAGGAGCCTGATGGAGGGCTTGATCCCAAGACCCCGAGATCATGACCTGGGTTGAAGGCGGATGCTTAACTGACTGAGCCACCCAGGTGCCCCATCAAGCAAAATTTTAATTTAATTGAAATAAATATTTTTTGGGATGCCTGGGTGGCTCAGTGGGTTAAAGCCTCTGCCTTCGGCTTAGGTCATGATCCCAGGGTCCTGGGATCGAGCCCTGCGTCGGGCTCTCTGCTCAGTGAGGAGCCTGTTTCCTCTATTCTCTCTGCCTGCCTCTCTGCCTACTTGTGATCTCTGTCTGTCAAATAAATAAAATTTTTAAATTAAATAAAAGAAATGGGAAAAAAAGAAATATTTTTCAAATCAGACCTCTTAAATTTGCAGAAGCAAATGTAGTGATTTCTTTTTCTCTCACTCTCTTAGGTGATCCAGAAGAATTAATGTTCCAGTATTTTAAAAGGTTTGGGGATAAACCTTGTTGTTTTACAGACCTCAAGGTGTTTGTTGACCTGCTACCTGCTACACAGTGTACAAAAGTAAGTACAGTTCAGAATTCTGTTGGGTACCTGTATTACTTGTAACTAGGTTAAATCTGTGTGTGAGTGGTGAACACGAGATGCCAAGGTAACTGCTCTAGCAAGCCAGGGACTCCAGGTGCTAACAGATTAAGAGATGATTTCTTGTTAAATTTAGCCATGAAGAGAATAAGCCTCTGATGGATAATTGGATTGTCTTTTTGTTTTATGGTGTGTTTTTGTTTTGTTTTGCTTTAAGATAATTATAGATGTACATGCAGTTGTAAGAGAAATAATACAGAGAGCTCTGTATAGCCCATTCCCATTTTGTCCCACTGGTAACGTCTTGCCTAACTATAGTATAATATCATAATTAGGAAATTGACATTGATACAATTCACTGATCTTGTGGAGATTTCAGCAGTTTTACATCTGGGTGTATACGTGTGGTACATTAATGTGTATTTAGTGCAGTGTATTGTATTGCACGTGGACTCAGTGACCGCTGCCAGTGTCAAGATACAGAACTGTTCCACCACCAGGATCCCACGCGCTACCCCTTTTTACCCGCCGCCATCTCCTTGCACCTTCCCCTTTCCCTGTCTCTCTGTCCCCTGGCAGTCATTAATATGATTTCTATTTCTGTAATTTTGTCATTTTAAGAATGTTATGTAATAGAGCCTTAGTATGTGTAACTTTCTGAGATTGACTTTTTTCCTCCCTCAGCATAATTCTCTGGAGTTTCATCCATGTTAATGTTTCAATAGTTCATTCTTTTGTATTGCTGAATAGTATTCTGTCGTATGGATGTGCTACCATTTCTTTATAAAATGTTGAAGGACATCCAGTTTCCTGTTTTTGGCTGTTACAAATAGAGCTGCTGTGGACATTTGTGTGGGGGTCTTTTTGTGTGAACTTGTGTCTTCGTTTCTATGAAAAAAATGTCCAGTAGTGTAATGATAGCTGCTTGTTTAGTTTTTTTTTTTTAAAGAAATGGCCAGACTTTTTCACAGTTGCCATTCCATTTTAAATTCCTATTAGCAGTAAATGAGTGATCTAGTTTCTCTGCATCTTCATCAGGATTTAGTGTTGTCACTGTTTTTAATTTTAGCCATTCTGGCAGGTACATAGTGATATTTTATAGTGGTTTTAATGTATAATTCCCTCTTGGTTAATGGTGTTGAACGTCTTCTCATGTGCTTATTTGCCAGCTTTATATTCTCAGTGAAATATGTGTTTCTGTCTTTTGCTTCCTTCATAGTTCGTTTTTGTTTCTTTACTGTTGAGTTTTGAGAATTTGGATATTCTAGATACAGCTCCTTTGTCAGATACATGGTTTCACATATTTTCTCCCAGTCTCTGCTTGTCTTTTCATCCTTTAATAGGATCCTTTGCGGAGCAAGGTTTTACATTTTGATGCACTTATTTTGGAATAATTTTAGATTTATAGAGAAGTCACAAAGATAGTACAGAAAGTTACACTATAGTCTTAACCCTTGCTTGTTAATATCTTAAATTACCAAGGTACATTTGTCAAAACAAGACACTGGTACACTATTTTTAACTAACCCCTAGATTTTATTTAGATTTTCCCAGTTTTCCCATTACTGTCCTTTTTCTGTTCTGTGATCTAATCCAGTGTACCACATTGTAGTTCGTTGTCATATATTAGGAGTTTTTGCTATAAATGAACCAATGTAAATTTCTTACATAATGAAATGGGGAAGCTTATCTTTAGACTCCTCATCCACAGCAACATGTACTGGGTCAGATTGCTCACCCGTTGCTGGGAACTTCATACCCTGTTCCACAGTATGAGTTTTTAGTATTTAGTCCAGAGTGTCCCTGGTAGTGGGCAGGTGGAGTACTCTACCAGTTGGAAGAACAGTGTATGTGGGGTAGGGTAGAGTGCCATGTAAAGAAACAGTGGCATGTATAAAAGAAAGTCGATGATTTGATCAGTTTTACTCATAAATACCTCTGAAATTAGTGAAGGTTGCAGCGAAGCCTTCCTATCACAGGGTTGCCACCACCTGTTATTCCAGAGTGCCTTCTCTTGCCCCCGTAGTGGAGGTTACTGGAGTATTTGTTCGGTGGTTTTATGTTCAGTCCACCAGGCTTGATACTTGGCAGTCTTGAAGGTGAGGGATCTGGGGGGATGGAGCAGTGCTTTCCCAAACTGGAAAGTAGCTAATGATCTCTCGGTTGTGACTGTCACCATTCACTTTGGTTTAGTAAAACTATTCTTGGAGTGCTGTGTTTACAGGCCTCAGGTCAAGCTTTAGAAGTTTCCAGATTAATTGTAGGATATCCAGAAAAGGAGTTCTGGGTTGTAGGAGGACTTGAAAGCATAGGAGAGAGAAATGGAAGAGAGGTTTGGTCTGGTGAGGACACAGTCCTTCCTTTCTCATAACTGAAAAGCTCCCGTACAAAAAGGGAATAAGAATTGGGATCCGGGGGCGCCTGGGTGGCTCAGTGGGTTAAAGCCTCTGACTTCGGCTCAGGTCATGATCCCAGAGTCCTGGGATCGAGCCCCGCATCGGGCTCTCTGCTCAGCGGGGAGTCTGCTTCCTCCTCTCTCTCTGCCTGCCTCTCTGCCTACTTGGTATCTCTGTCAAATAAATGGATTAAAAAAAAAAAAATTGGGATCCGCAGGAAGTTGTTACAGAGAATTCAGAATTTGGCCAGTGGAAAAAAGGTCTTTCTAGTAGTTAGATTCTCTAAAAATACAATGTGTGAGTTTCATGTTACTAGAGCGATTTAAGCAGAATCTAGAACTGTGTGGAAGAGATTTTTTCAGTTAGTATTTGTTGCAGATATTATGTACTAAGTGCTAAGATTTGGAACAATTGATCGTGTCTTCCGTTGCTTCCCATCTTAGAAGTTGAAGCATCAACTAATGAGGCTGCATTAAAGGGACACTTAATTGCCTTCAGCTGAGATTCATAAGGGTTTGCTAATGTTTATCTAGTATAAGCTCTACTGTATTAGTATGTTTGAAACTCAGGTCATCTCATGTGACCTCATAGAGTAATCTATTGAGATGAACCCTCTAGAAATGCTGGAATACTAGCAGTGGTGGGTAGTCGTTCTGTGAAACAAAGGATTTAAAGCTGTTGGAATGAGTTTTGTAGACCCACATAAATTTTCATTGAGGGGGTAATTTTGCTGCCACAACTTTTTAAATGTAGGATGACTTCAGTAGCTAAAAATTCTGCCTCTCAGCAGTGTGTTTGTCAGAGGATTGCAAACCATTTAAGTAAATTTCAAGCTGAGAGCTATAGTCCCAGTCTTTTAAACTGGGACGAGCCCCTACAGGTAGGCCACTGAATCCAATTATCCTGAAGTGGCTCACCCAGAGTGATGTTTTTATCTTTTGATTTCCTTTTCCCTGGGGTTTTAAGCTAAACAAATGATTACAGTTTTTATAAAGAAGCTTTTTGCATAGCAGTAAAATGGTACAGGCTAGAATAAAGAATGAATGCATTGTTTCATGACAAAACCTGTCTGGAAGATTCTTTAGCATTCTTTGAAGAAGGCATTAATGATAAGCATCACTAATACATAGAGTAGCTTGCAAGAATGGACCAGCCGGCAGTAGAAGCTATATAGGCATTTAATCAAAAATATGAAGACCGGGGCTGCAGTTTCTTTGTTGCACATGATTATCTGATCATAATAATTGAAATTCATACATTTGGAGACAAATTGAAGCAACATTGGTATAGATGTGAGACTGCATGAGTGGGGTTTTCTTTTTTAATTTTTATTTTTATGAAAAAATTACATGGATAAAGTTGAAAAAGCTGAATGGTACTATAAGGCTTCTTTTGAAAGACAGTAGCAGCTCTTTGCCACCTTTACCCTGCTTCTGGCTCTCTACAGGCAGATCGCGTTCAGCTCCTACCTGTGTCTTCTGTGATTTACCTCAGTATTTCTAAATTACAGATTTGTATAACTTTGTTTATTTTTACAGTTACAGTCTTCCTCTGTTGGAGCCCTTTCATGGAAGGATGATCATCTCATTTACAACATCCCACTTCTCTCCTTACGTGCTTGCCCCCCGATTTAGTTTAGTGTGTATTCAGAATTTGTATTGTTACGAAATTTTATGTATTTTATGGAGATTTTTTACACAACTTACTTTCTCAGAATTAATCTTTTTTTTTTTAATTCACCCCAATCTGACAGAACCATGGAAGTATAAAACTGTTCTTCAGTTAGTCTAAAACATGAGGTGATCATCTGTTTCATTCTACTACAAACCTTTTCTATCCTCCCACCCCTTACCCCTCATCACCTCAGAAAATACTTTTTTTTTTTTTTTAAGATTTTATGTATTTGTTTAAGAGAGAGAGAGCTGAGGGAGAGGGAGAAGCAGACACCCCACTGAGCAGGGAGTCTGACATGGGGCTTGATCCCAGGACCCTGGGATCATGACCTGACCCAAAGGCAGACGCTTAACCATTGAACCACCCAGGCTCCCCTAAAATCATTTTAATGCAAGGTGTTAGCATCAGGAGAAACTGGATGAGAAGGGTACCTGGGATCTCTCTGGATTATTTCTTAAATCTGCATGTGAATCTGCATCTGAAAATAAAACTTTAATAAAAAGCAACTTAAGGCCACTGACATGACATAACTATTCCTCTCAACATGTAATATTTTCTCTAAGAATTCACTTGTATATCAGTTGTAATTATAGGTTTGTTTTTGGTAATCTCTTTTTATAGCTTCCCTAATCAAGCTTTTCATTGCCATATCATTATATTATGTTGTGTGGAATAATTTATGAAACGTTTTCACAATTCTTTTAATCTGTCAGTGGTATAGTACCCAGTATTGAGAGATGACTTGTGGCCAGCAGTGAATGAGAATGCCATTTCCGTTGGCCTTTTATCAGCATTGTGTGCTGTTAGAAGTTTTTTTGTTTTAGTAATTTTGGTAGATAGAAAATGCCTTTTTCTAGGTCACTTCAGTATTTGTTAATTACAGCCTGCCAAAGATGAGTTCTGTTTTGAGATTGGTGCTTTTTTCCTACATTGCAGTTTATTAATCAGTTACTTGGAGTTGTTCCTTTGTCGACACCAACCGAGGAGAAGCTGGCGCTGCCTGCGGACATCAGAGCTCTGCAGCAGCATCTGTGTGTCGTGCAGCTGACGAGGCTGCTCGGCCTGTACCACACTATGGATAAAAACCAGAAGCTGAGTGTGGTCAGAGAATTGATGCTAAGGTATCAGCACGGACTAGAATTTGGTGAGCATTCTTTCAAAATGTATAGTAGTTGCCTGATTTGCTAAGTTTTATTCTTTTGGGTTTTGTTTTTATCACTCAGAGCACCTTATTTTTTATTTTTATTTTTTTTTAAGATTTTTTTTTTTTTTAAATTTATTTGACAGATCACAAGCAGGCAGAGAGGCAGGCAGAGAGAGACAGGAGGAGGAGGCAGGCTCCCTGCTGAGCAGAGAGCCCGATGCGGGACTCGATCCCAGGACCCTGAGATCATGACCTGAGCTGAAGGCAGAGGCTTTAACCTGAGCCACCCAGGCACCCCAGAGCACCTTGTTTTAATGAGTTTGGCAAGGAGCTTATTCTGGGAAGACTGTTCACATATAAAGCCTCTCTTAAGTTTGGAGTTTTGAATAATGATAGGTGTCCATATTCTTCTTGATTGAGCTAACTGTCACACTGGGGCTCATATGAATTACATGGGGCTTATGATTAATTGTGACATTTTCTGCTGATAGGCCTTACTATTTTTAATATATAGACTGAAATTGAACAAAGTGAATGTCATAGATTATGAGGTAAATGTTTAGTTCAGAAGTAGATGACCTTTTGCTAGATATATGTGATAAAGTATAAGTTGTGTGACCAGATGATGTCAGTGTTTCTCTAACTGTAATCTGAATCATTAGGTGAAGTAATGAGTGTACCATTACTTTAGTTGTACATGGCCCTTGGCTTCTATTCTTCTCTTTACCTGAAACCTCCTTCCAAATCTTGCTGCTCTCCCTTTGGGGCCATTGCAGATACCACCTTTGTTCTAGAACTCTTCCTTCTGCTCCAGCTGAGTGTGGCCTTACCTTCTTTTGAATCCTTTGATTCATTGCTTACATTTTTCTTCTGGTATTTATACGCCTCTTACTACTTTCATTTCCTCTTTTTTTATCTTCTCCCTCCTGTCACTTTCCTGCTTTGAAAAACTCCTTTGGGGCAGTGATAGTTGAACAAATGTTAAAATACAAATATGGGATTTTTTCCCTACAGGGAAATCCTGTTTGAAAACCGAATTGCAGTTTTCAGACTATTACTGTCTCCTTGCTGTCCATGTGCTTATTGATATATGGAGAGAAACAGGTAAGGAAGAGTGATTTCAGTTTGACTTTATGCTTTGCTTTTATTGCTTATAAATCCTGAGACTAATTATATAATCCAAGAATTTGATTTATGCTTTTAGGTTTTTCCTCCTTGCCCTTCTCCAGGGTGCTTCTAGAAGAACCCATCTCCAGATAATCCCCCTCTCTGTAATCCAGATAATCTTAAATCAGTGCACATCTGTTCTGTTTTTATTTTTTAAATTTTAATAAATTATAGTTGATACACATTACATTAATTTCAAGTGTCCAACATAGTGATTCGGCAGTTCTGCACATCATGCCCTGCTCACCACAAATCTGTTGCCGTGTACCACTGTCGCAGTACCAGTGACTGTATTTCCTACACTGTGCCTTTCATCCCTGTGACTTACTCATTCCATGACTGGAAGCTTATACTTCCCACTCCTCTTTTTTCCCACCCTCCGTCCCTCCTGATAACCATCAGTTCCTTATTTATAGGTCTGTGTCTCCTTTTTTGTTTGTTTGTTCATTTTATTTCTTAGATTACACATATAAGTGAAATCATATGGTATTCGTTTTTCTCTGTCTAGCTTATTTCACTAGCATAATACCCACTAGGTCCATCCATGTTGCAAATGGCAAAATATTCTTTTTTATGGCTGAATAATATTCATGTGTGTATGTATGTGTGTATGTGTATACACATGTGTGTACACACCACATCTTTATCCATTCGTCTATTGATGGACACTTGGGTTTGCTTCCGTATCATGGCTATTGTAAATAATGCTGCGTATGTATATCTTTTTTGAGTTAGTATTTTCATTTTCTTTTGGTAAATACCCAGTAGTGGAATTATTGAATCATATGATATTTCTGGTTTTAATTTTTTTTGAGGAACCTCCATACTGTTTTCCACAATGGCTGCACCAATTTACATTCCCACCAGCAGTGCATGAGGGATCCTTTCTCCCCACATCCTTGTCAACACATGATATTTCTTGTTTACTGTTATGTTTTTAAACATTTTTGAAAAGAGAATAATGACTGAACTACCTATTACAAAGTTGCCACAATTAAAATAAGAGAAACTGATTCAGAGAGAGATGTATAGGTCCATGAAATGGAATAGCCCTTTTTATTTACTTAAAAAAGTGTTTAGGAGAATGTACTCTTTTGGGAATGTAATTCTAATTAACCTGTTAAGGACAGAAATACAATATATGCTGAAGGAAGCATATATCCTTGAGCAAGAAAAGGATGATTCAGCAAATGATACTGAGATTCCCTTTAGGTTTCACTCTTGACATTTTCTTTTATTAGCAGATTTTTGGGAAAAAAAAATTTAGGTACTTATTGCATATTATTCACGAGAATAAATTGCACAAGAAACAAAGGGCTGGGGAGACAGTACTGTGTGTGGTGGACACAAGCCCTGCCCTCGGGGGTCGTTTCATGGAGCATTTGATTTTCATACCATCACCCTTGGGCTGAAAACCCTTCAGAGGTGCCCTGTTTTCCTGAGGGTAAAGGTCAGCCTCTTTAGGATAGTTTACAGTGCTCTGTATAACCTAGCCTCTGCTTATATCTCTAAATTCTTAGGTACTTAGAGCCTAAATCTGCTGGTTTTTTTGCTAGTATTAGTGAACGTCATGTGCCTCTCTTTGAAATAACTTCCTTCCTTCCTTCATCTAACTTTTACCTCTGAGCCTGTCTTGATTTCACACTCCCCCCGCCCCACCACTAAAGAGTTTATGCCCCTTCTGAACTTTTATAGGACGTTGTGTGTATTCCTGTGCTAGTACTTGTTATACTGTATTGTACCGGAGATGGGGCTGAAATCCTTTTTATCAGAGTCTTTGTCATCTGAGCCCCAGAATCGTGAGTTTGCATAGAGCTGTAAAACATCCATGAATGAACTGACCCCTTAGTAATTTGATCCCTACTCAGATACCCTTCCCCACTTACTCTAGCATCCATTCTTGCTCATAAGTGACTATATGGCTTTGCTAATCCCTTGGTTCTTTTAGCAACATGCCCAGTATAGCAATAGCAGCTAACATTTGTTGATCAGCAGGCCCTTGAAAGTGCTTTACATGAATTAGGTAATTTAAACCTCATAATATAGTTAAGATTGGTGCAGTTTTATAGAGAAGGAAAGACAGGGCAGAGAAAGAAGTTAAGCAGATTTTCCATAATCATACTGTACAGTGCAGATACATTGAAAAATTGCCAATATTATAAAGATGCAGTGTTTCTTGCAGTCAGTGAAAGTGAGGTTGCAGTGCTCTAATTAGAGGCATAGTCACTGTCCAGGATGGATCTGACAGATACTAGAAATCTGTAGAAATTCGGTATGAATGTTGGAAGACTCTGATTTGAATGTGAAAGATTAAGAAGAGCACTTTTAAAATTTCTTCTAAGATTTTACTTATTTATTTGACAGAGAGAGACACAGATTGAGAGGGAACACAAGCAGGGGGAGTGGGAGAGGGCGAAGCAGGCTTCCAGCTGAACAGGGAACCTGATGTGGGGCTCGATCCCAGGACTCTGGGATCATGACCTGAGCGGAAGAAGGCAGACACTTAACGATTGAGCCACCTAGGTGCCCTAAGAGCACTTTAAGAAGTTGATGATGCTCTCAGATATTTTGCCAAAAGGCATTTGTTTATGATTCTGCAAAAGTAAAATGGGGAGTTAAGGATATCTTTTTTCCCTCCAGTTTTATTGAAGAAATGTGATTGATATATTACATTGTATTAGCTTAAGATTGTATAGCTTAAGATGTATAACATAATGATTTGATATATGTATATCATGAAATGGTTACCACCATAAGTTTAGTTAACATCTGTCACCCCACAGTTAGATTTTTTTTTCTTATGATTAGAAATATTAAGATCTACTCTCCTAGCAGCTTTTGAGTATACAGAACAGTATCATTAACTGTAGTCCATACTATACATTAATATAGCTCTAGAACTTATATCATTTTGTTATATTACAACATTTAGTTAGAAAACTTTTTTCCAAAAAGCCTAATCAGTCCTTCGTGCTCTTTTCTTTTTTTGCTTGATGCTCTTTTGATTTGGTGAAGAATTTGCATAGAGTTGTAGTTATAGCCTAAATATTACAAAATAAAATAATAAATATCCTTGTAATGGTTTAATAGTTGAGAAAAAAATATAAATTATACTTTTTTTAATGTTTTGAAATTTTGTTTCCATTTTAAGGAGATCTTTTTTTCAATACAGGTTATCTTTGAGTAACTAGGATTTTTTTCTTTTTTAAGATTTTTGTTTACTTGACAGGGAGACCATGAGCTGAGGGAGAAGCATACTCCCCTCAGAGCAGGGAGCCTAACACAGGGCTCCATCCCAGGACCCTGAGATCATGACCCAAGCCAAAGGCAGACCCTTAACTGACTGAACCACCCAGGCGCCCCATTCTTTTCTTTTCTTTTTTAAGATTGATTTATTTACTTTAGAGAGAGAGTGAGGGAGAGCAAGTGTGCACAACAGTTGGGGGAGGGGCAGAGGGAGGGAATACTCAAGGCAACTCCTGCTGAGCACAGAACCTGCCAGGGGCTCAATCGCAGCACCCAAGCTGAAGCCAGGAGTTGGTCGCCTAACTGACTGAGCCACCCAGGCACCCTGAGTAACTAGGACTTCTTAGAATTATTTATTCCCTTTAATTGTCCAGCTCTTTACTCACCTCTGAGCCCCTCGAGGCCAGGAACCACCCATGACCTTTATCCTCCGGTCCTATATTTAGTGTTGCTCCAGAGTTTTAAGTCAGTAAGTGTTGAATTCAATAAAATTACAATTGTGAAGACTAGGTAGCAACATGGGAAAACACTTCAAAGAGCAGAACACAAAATTAGTTGATGTCGTGACTGCTACTGTGTAAAAGTAATTCTGATTCAAAGGCAATACATTAAAGTCATAATGGTAGTTTGCATAGATTATAGGTATGCATAGTTTGGGTAGGATTATGGATATTTATCTAAAACCCCAATTTTTGATTATATCGCATTTCTTGTAGAAAAAAGCCTGCAGCATATAATTCGAAAAGCTCAAGGCATAGAGCTTTTACTTTAAGTGTTTTAAGTTTTAGTTTAAGTTTTCTCTGACTATAAAAATAACTTATAAAAGTGTTGGGAAACAGTTTATTTTAATCTTAACTTTTCCAGGTTCCAAAACACATTCTAAAAGCTGGCGTATTTCCTTCTCTTTTTTTCTGTGCTTGTCTTATAGATTAAAGATCACTTCTTCATGCTAATTTGAATTCTGTGTGTTTTACTGAACTGTTACTGTACAAGTATTTTCCCTCATTACTAAAAACTCATTAATATCAAATGGCTGCATAATGTGGGCCTTATTATAATTTTCTTAATCATTCCCTCATTATTAGTACAATGAATGTTTTTATATATAAATCTTTATCTCCATTTCATATTATTTCTTTAGGTTCATGAAAGAGAAGCTACTTAATCTTTAAGACTATTGATGTCATGTAACCTTTTGAATTTTGGTAGGCCAAAAATAAGTGTGTTGTATTAATTTGATTATTAGTGAACAGCTCTTTTGAAATATTATTTGACATCTGAATAGTAGAGTTACATATGGAAGAAAAATGTTGCCTAGAGAGAATATCTTCCTGGGGTCCGGTAAAGAAAATCCTGTGTTGGGAAGGTTGGTGGACTCAAATTCTCCTTCAAGGTCCATCTCTTCAGAATCTAGGATTCTCAGAGGTTCTGTAACTTCCTTCCTAAACCTCACAACTTAAAGTCTGCATCACTTTTGCAGATGCATGTTTAAGAACTGAGGTAACTATTGAGAAACTCTCTATTCTGGGAAATTGCCTGTTTTGCTTACAGGTGTATATCTAAAATTTGTTCTTTGACACCTAAACTCATTCTTCAGATAGTTAAGGGAGGTGCTAATACCAGTAAGTTTTTGTCTTTTGTTTATGAGAAATCTCCATCTGCTGCTAAGTACTGTGGATAATACTGTTACGTTTTGGTTCTAGGTGACGAGACTGCTGTGTGGCAGGCCCTGACTTTGCTGGAAGAAGGTTTAACCCACAGCCCTTCCAATGCTCAATTCAAGTTGCTGCTTGTTCGAATCTACTGTGTGCTGGGGGCGTTTGAACCAGTGGTGGATCTCTACTCCAGCCTTGATGCTAAGCATATCCAGCATGACACCATTGGGTTGGTAGTATATACTCTGAATACTGAGCAGCCAGCTACCTCAGGGTGGGGTCCTTACACATGGAGCTCAAGCTTTGCAGTTTCTGTTATTAAGCTTTTTAGATTAAGTAATCACCCATGATGACCCATTGCAAAGCAGAAAGATTTTTATATCTTCCAGCATTTGATGGTAATTTTTAAATTTGCACAGTTTTGAAAAGGTAAGAGTTTTCCCCAGAGGTAGCAAACAGCTATAGACTTGGAACACATTATTGTGAAGTCTTTATTTCTGCTTTGCAGTTGAGATTAATACATGTTCTTTATTTGTTGACCTTAGAGATCCTTTGAATTTGTGTTTTGACTGTTCTTTATGATGAGTCAAGGGTATTTTCTTTATCCCCTTCTGGTCCATTAATCATATGAGCGTAAGAAAGCATGGCATAGAGCTTTAGGTCTCCCACAAAACTGAATTAACTTTGTTCTTTAAAAAAAAATTGATTCTGTGAATGAGATGATTTCTGTGGCAGGCTGTTTTAACTTCCCTGTGTGCCTGTTTATCTGCTATAATAATTTGAAGTGTAGTTGGTACTGGAGGTGGTAAGTATAACGTATTTTTTTTTCTTTCTTTCCTTCTGACCTAGCTATCTTTTGACTCGATATGCCGAATCCCTAGGTCAGTACGCTGCTGCATCCCAATCCTGTAACTTCGCACTCAGGTTTTTCCACTCCAACCAGAAAGATGTAAGTGAAAAATATTTTTAAAAAATATGTTCTTGCCTGCTGAATGCACGCGAGTCAGAGAACACCTTCCCTCGTGTGGCAACGCGTGCACGTGAATTGCACCATGCGTACTTGCAAGTGCCTTAGGCCATAGGTTACTGGCCACGTCTGTTAGGTGGAGGTTAAGAGTTTTTGTGGTTGCTAGAGTGGGTGTGTTTAATAGAATCCATGCAGAGGTATAGTTAAAACACTATTAGAGTAGTAAGCGGTATTCCTCTTAGTTCTAAGGGACTTTTTCTAAGGGTATAAGAGGTAACCCATATGTGTTTATAGCCTGGGATGCCGTAGAAGATTCTGTAACAGCAGCTGCTCTGTTACCTTTATTTCCGAAGTGTATACTACCATGCTCTTTGCCAACAGCCAGTGCACTCGTATTTTCTTAGAATTATAAAATTGTCCAGTTGAAGGTCATTTCAAGAAACTTGTGTCAATAATGTGTTTTTTAAAGTAGCAGTAAATAAGGTAGAGCTATGTGCCATAATGAAAGGATGGGATTTGCACCATATTTTTCACTGCAAGCAGTCTTGGTCTCCACTTGTCAGTTAAGCAGAAGTTTTGTATAGTCTCTAGTCAGTCAACCAACTGTGTAAATCCACCTTGAACACAGTTGGTTGACTGACTAGAGGTGAACACAGGTAAAAAGAAGGCAAGTCTCTAGGATGGTCATTGCCTGCTTTGTTCTCATGTGCTTCTAAAACTCATTGCTTAGAATTCGGCTATGCCAGATATCTGCCCATAGTTTTTTCTTTTCATGGTCTAATAGCAACTAAGGAACTTGGCCACAGAGCTGGTTTTTGGGGTGGTTCTTTTGTAACTGTAATAGCTGTGGTTAATCTATCTTCCATCGAATTTTTTAGCCTTGTATTAAACAGAAGGCAGAGCGGAAGCATTTCTGAACAATGGAATACAGGTTTATTGTTGTCAGCTTGCAGTAATTCTGTCCTGGTAAGCCTTATGGCAAGGCCTAGAGGGCTGATGTAGCAAGGGATAGTAAGCTGTGCATCAGTTGGCTTTTAAGCCCTATTCCCCTTCCCCCATGGCACTTTCCAGTGTTTGGGATCTCTATTCATACCTTATTTTGTGCCACAGCTCCTGATCAGGGAGAGAGGGAAGTAGGCATCAGTGTTTGAACATGCTGCCTGGAAGGTGCTGGCCTGGCTTAGAGATCCGAGAGCATCTCTAGGACTTGGATTTCTAAAATATCTTAGCACATGTAGGCAGTTGAGTTATAAGTCTGTGTGTTTGTACTCTGTGTTCAGGTATCTGTGCTTGCCCTTCTCTGTTCTTAAGAGGTTTCACTAAGTCAAGGGAAAAAATCAGAAGTGTTTCTCAAATCTCATTATTCTGGCTGTCACTTCTGTATTTCTAAGAAAGAGGTTAAAGAAATATTTACTGATGACTCCTTTTCAAAGTTTTGTTTCTCTGATAGCTCTGAGGCAGAAGTTGGGGTAAATAATGGATTAATCCATGCCTGGTGGCTGGTTTTATTCCAGTTTTTAATCATCCAGCGTTCTAGAAGCACCATATTGTTCCCGATTTGGTCAATAAGGCACATTTCATATGCTATTGAAAATTAAGCTTTGCTTCCTCCCTTCCCCCCACCAGTTACTGTGTCTAAAGAGTTGTTTTGAAAACAAAACATACCTACCCCAAAACAAAACAACTCAAGTTACTGTTAAAGAGAACGGAGATCTTCAGGAATGATTTGAGAGGGTATGTTGTTCTCAGTGCCTTTTTTTGTCTCTGAAGTTTTGCTGATGGTTATGTGAGGCAGAAGTGACTAATTAATCTGAATGTATGTGATGCTGGACCTGATCATTTTATTGATCTGGGAATAGGACTCTCTGCTTGAAATTTATTTTTATTACTACAAGAGAGAGCTTATTTAATCTTACTAAAGTAGATAATCTTTGGGGGGTCCTAGAGGCAAAAGCAAAAACCAGTAGAGCAAGGAAAATGCACCTTAAACCTTCATGCTGAGATTGAGTCCGAAAATAGGGAACTGGGCACTGTGGCATTGACTGTTTCCTATAGGAATTTGAGGATAAGAAAGAGCACGAGTTTAGTGTTGTCTTGTATGGGTTAACCCTTCTGATAGTATTAGATCTTTGGAAGGCTAAAGCCCTGTGTTCTACATCTTTTATTCTTGGTAGTTTTTGAGATCCCCAGATGGTTCTTTCTTGGTGGACTGATGTATTTCCATTCCCAACTTGATCTTCGAAAGAACACTTTTGCTCCTTAACTGGAAAATCCAGCGTTCTGCTTTGTAAGGCTCCATGCTATGGGATTGAAATTTATATTTGGAAGGTCTACACAGGGATTTTCTTTTTGGAAAGGTCATCATTGTCATCTTACTTTGGAATAGATTTTTACAATGTGAGATTTAGAGACAGATGTTCTTATCTCTAAAAGTTACTTCTGTGTTTGTACTTCAAAAATAATTTCCCGTTAAAAGTCTGTTTTGGGTATTCATGAAGATGATCATTCAGGGTTGATGTCCATCTGTTTTGTTAATTCTTACAGTGACCAGGGTTCATTTCAGGAATCCATATGGGATATAACTAGCCTCATGGTGCATAAATGAGTAGAAATAGGTACGGACAACATTCTCTGATATTCAAAAGTTTTAAAGTCCCTGTGGCTTCCAGTTTTGCCTGCAGTTCCAGTAGGGGTTGTGTCTTCAAATTATGGATGCACAGGCCCTTTCCTAGCTCTGCGGTGATGCTTTGCTGCAGCATTAAAGGAGGACGATCTTAAAAACAGAAGCCAGAGAGCTGCAGTTACCTTCTCACTTTGTTAAAGGACTGCATTCCCTGTCTGTTGCCCCTTATTTTTCTTTTTTAAAAGCCATTGCCTCTTTTTCAAAAGTGATATTCCATGGACTACTCAGAAATTAAGACTGTCTGTCTACTTTGTAAAGCTGGCTTCTTTTCTCTAATCAGCGTGTTTTGGAGCTGTAATTGGTAAATGTGATTGAAATCTCCAGAAGTCCTGTTTTCATCCTGATTAATTGCTGGATCATTATGTTCCTAAGCAGCTGGTTTTTTCAAGCTGTAAGTTCCTGCCGCAAGAGCTGATAGTAAACCTTGCTTTTTCCAAGCCAAGAGGCCATCGGATAGGCCTGTGTGTTTAAAGTATCCTGGCCTCTTCTTGATGGGGCGTATCACTGTCCTTTAATCAGGCTAGAAGGTACACTTGAGCTTTTTCGGATAGTCCTTCTTTAAACCTGCAGGATCACAAGTAATCTTTTTAATTTTCTTGTGTCCGTCCGTCTTTAATTTCTCCAGATACTGCAGGCAAACAGCTCGCCGAGGTGTCCCATGGGGTTTAAAAGCCGCATCGAATGCAGTTGAATTAGCGCCCGTGGCGCAATCCCGCGGCCTGAAATGAACCCTGCGAGGCTGTGTATCAGAGGGTATGTTGTTGACTATCGGCATATTTTCCTACTGGGCAAATTATTTAGTCATAATGGAGATGGGGGCAGAGCTGACTAAGGTGTAAAAAGACTGGCTTTTCTGGAAAGGATCTTTGGGGCAGACATCTGCTTTGAGCTTAACATTCCTTGGCCCAAAAGGGTACCCTTCTGACTTCTGATCCTGATGGTATAGGCCCACACCCCTGAAATGTTCTTCCTGAGATTTTCTTCTATTGTGCCAGAATTTCTGTTGAGAATTCTTTCTCTTGTCTTTGTTCACAACATTACATCTGTACATATGTATTACTCTAAAATTAAAGTGCATATGGTGAGTGTTCCCTTCACTTACTTGTTCATGGAATTTTCCAGCATAGGTCTTATGTAGTTTGGATGGACAAGAAAACTGGTTCTTGTAGTCTTTCTGTCCTCAGAGTGGATTCTGATGAATTCTTATGGGTCTTTTTGTTTGTTGTCTTCTGTCTTGATATAATGCACATATGCTCTATGTTTGTGATATATAGTACTCAGAAGTAAACAAAACCAAGGAGCAGCCTGTCTTTTTTCTGGAAGAGGGTGATTTTTTTATTTGGGTTGGTAGTGGGGTGGTTATATTATTCTGGTGTTTTTGGAACCTTTGTATAAAATGCAGTTTATCTTAGATGCAGAAAAACATGGAGTAACATCCCTTCCATAATGGCACTAAATGAAATTTTTGACTGACATGGTATCACAAAACCTCCAGTCCTACCAAATTAAAAGACATAACTGCTAAGAGAAAGTCTCTGTGGATAGCAGCAGCTGGGTGGTGGTGGTGGTAGTAGTAGTAGTAGTGGTAGTAGTGGTAGTAGTAGTAGTGAAGAACACATATGACTGGTATAGGAAAGAAGAAAAATAATGTTTTATAAAGCTGATATTCTACTTGTGACCTTTAAAGATTAGAGTTCACATCTTAATTTCAGTTTGAGTGTAGTTTGGTTTTGTTTTGCCTGGCAAGTTTTGTCTTCTTTGCCTGATCTGTGAAATATTTATACGGAGGTGATGTCTTTCTTTCCCAGACCTCAGAATATATTATTCAAGCTTACAAATATGGTGCATTTGAGAAGATCCCAGAGTTTATCGCTTTTAGGAACAGGCTGAATAATTCTCTTCATTTTGCACAAGTCCGTACTGAACGGATGTTGTTAGACCTTCTACTTGAAGCAAATATGTAAGTATTGCACAAGAGCTAAAAAGAAACTCAGGGATTAGGTCAGATCCTGAGAGCCGTTAATGGGCTCCTGTGTAATAATAGCAGGTCTAGGCTAAGGACAAATGGGGAGAGAGAGAGAGAGAGAATGGAAGTTGGTGGGAGCAGAGAAGAAAAGGGAAATGACCCAGTGCATGTCATGGAGAATGATCACATAGCCAGCACCATTGTGTGTCTCGTGCACAAACCAGACAGCCTGTGGTCATCGCCCCAGTCCATGTGTTGTTTAAAGGCTTTCCCTTCCCCACTTAAACATGGGGTTTCAGGAATTAATGTTGACCCACTTTATTTTAGTTGAGCTTCCAGATGCTTTCTTTTGCTGTGTAGCAGGCTAGTGTGATATGGGCTTGGTTCTGTGTCATCTTCTGTGAACCTTTACTTCTTAATAATAAATCCTTCTTCCTCTTTCTTTTCCTTTCTTTCTAGTAAGACAAAGTTGTGGCTAATATGTTTTCATGGCTGTTTTACTATTGAAATAATACATAAATTTTCTATATCACAGATCAACCAGTTTAGCAGAAAGTATAAAATCAATGAATCTTCAGCCAGAAGAAGATGACATTCCATGGGAAGCCTTGAGAGACAACAGAGACTTAAATGTTTTCTTCAGCTGGGATCCAAAAGACAGGTAACTGGAATTAAACCCCAAGTATTTATTTTTGAAGAATTGGGATGAATCTAAGAGTTAAAAAAAAAAAACACCTCTTTTTTATACAAATAAAATAACATGGTTGTTGTGGGAATAGAAGGCATAGGTAAGCCAAATGAAGAAAATGAATCTCACTCCTATGTTGGATTGCTGGCTAATCTAAAAATTAGATTTTCCTTCATAGCATACATGAAAAGAGATTCCAGATGGATTAAAGAACTCCTTAGGAGTTCTACAAGAAAATTTAAAAAAATTTTTTGTTTTGTTTTGTTTTGTTTGAGAGAATGAGAGAATGGGGGGCGGGGACCAGAGGGAGAGGGAGGGAGTGAATCCTAAGCAGGCTTTATACCCAGTGCAGAGCCTGATGTGGGGCTCAATTTCAAGATCATGATCTGAGCTGAAATCAAGAGTCAGACATTTAATTGACCATGTCATCCAGGTGCCCCTAGAAAATATTTTTAAATGGTTAGGGAAAGCCTTTCTTAGCATTACATCAAACCTGGAAATTCAAAGGATTTGGTCTCTGTAAATATTAGCCTTCTATATAGAAGTAAATTTGTTAAGTTCTAAAGGTATGTGGTAGATTGGTAATTTTCTTCGTATATATTAATACCTTTCACATGAAGAACTTTTTGTTTTTAAGATTTTATTTATTTGACAGAGATCATAAGTAGGCAGAGAAGCAGGCAGAGAGAGAGGGGGAAGCAGGCTCCCCACCGAGCAGAGACCCCCATGCGGTGCTCAATCCCAGGACCCTGAGATCATGACTTGAGCTGAAGGCAGAAGGCTTTAACCCACTGAGCCATCCAGGTGTCCCAAAGGGAGAACTTTTAATAAACCAGTAAGAAGAACATAACTAAAAAACAAATTGGACTTAAGAAATTCAAAGAGATGCACCTTATAGTGATAAAGATTTTTTTTTTAAACTGTTGGACAAAGATAAAAAAGATTAATACTTGTGGTCAGCAAGGTTGTGGGGGTAAAGGTGGTTGTGCATTGACATGAAGATGTAACTTTTTATAATCTTCCTATAGAGAATTTTGGTAATCTGTATTAAGATTGAAAATTCCAGGGGTGCCTGGCTGGCTTAGTGGGTTAAGCCTCTGCTTTCAGCTCAGGTCATGATCTCAGAGTCCTGGGATCGAGTGCTGCATCAGGCTCTCTGCTCAGTGGGGAGCCTGCTTACCCCCTCTCTCAACCTGCCTCTCTGCCTACTTGTGATCTCTCTCTCTCAAATAAATAAGTAAAATCTTAAGGAAAAAAAAGATTGAAAATTCCATATCCCACTTAATTCAGCAGATCACTTCTAGGAAAGTACAACCAAAGGCAGTAGGAGCACAAACGTGCAGAGATAAGTATATGAGGTAGTTCTGAATAGACGTTTGATCCTTGAACAGTGTGGTGTTGGGGTGCTGACCCCCTTGTACAATCAGAAATCCAGGTGTAACTTTTAACTCCCGAGAAACTTAACTGCTAATAGTGTATTATCGACTGGAAGCCTTGCCTATGACATGAACAGTTGACCAGCACATATTTTGTATGCCATGTATATTATATCCTGTATTCTTATAATAAAGTAAGCTAGAGGAAGAAAATGTTATTAAGAAAATTATAAGGGTGGCCGCCTGGGTGGCTCAGTGGGTTAAAGCCTCTGCCTTAAAGCTTGGGTGGCTCAGTGGGTTAAAGCCTCTGCCTTCAGCTCAGGTCATGATCCCGGAGGCCTGGGATTGAGCCCCACATAAGGCTTTCTGCTCCGCAGGGAGCCTGCTTCCTCCTCTCTCTCTGCCTGCCTCTCTGCCTACTTGTGATCTCTGTCTGATAAATAAATAAAATCTAAAAAAAAAAAAAAAAGAAAAAGAAAATTACAAGGAGGAAAAAATACATTTACAATACTGTACTGCATTTACCCCCCCCAAAAAAAAAAAAATCTGTGTAAGTGGACCCATGCAGTTCAAATCAATGTTGTTCAGATGTCAAGTGCACTGTGATTTGGGGATTGCCAAGATTGCATTCAGTGGTTTGCTAGGACTCATAAGATTTAACCTGTAGTTGTCTTCACAGCTAAGGTTTATTATAACAGAAGGAGAAATGACAGGATCAGCAAGGGAAAAAGACACAGAATCTGGACAACTCCATGCACAGACTTCCAGTGCTCTCTCCCTTCTGTGTTTCTTAGCAGCAAAAAATGTAGTGATGTGTGTGCAGCATTTCTGTCCAGGGAAGCCCATTTGAGATTTGGTGCCCCAGGTTTGTTTTTGTTTTTTGTTTTGTTTTGTTTTGTTTTTTAAGATTTTTATTTATTTATTTAACAGACAGATATCACAAGTAGGCAGAGAGGCAGGCAGGTGGGGGGGGTGGGGCGGGAAGCAGGCTCCCTGCTCAGCAGAGAGCCTGATGCGGGGATCCATCCCAAGACCCTGAGATCATGACCTGAGCTGAAGGCAGAGGCTTAACTCAGCTGAGCCACCCAGGTGCCCCTAGTGCCCCAGGTTTTTACCAGCTGGTTATGTAGGTACCCTCTGTCTATCACGTGTCAACATTCCAGACTCCCAGAAGGAAAGCAGGTGTTCACAATAGACCATATGGTTTGTACAAACAGCCTAGGTGTAGTGAGCCACTCTTATCATTTAGGGAATTGTTGGAGTGCCAAGTTCCTAGACATTAGCTAATGGTCAGCCTTGCAAGCTGGCCCTTCTAAAGATAATAGCCTCAGGCTTGCTATGGTAACTCTTTTCTATAGACTGTCAAAAAAGTATAAATATCATGAACCCATTTTATTTAAAATATGTCAAATTATATAAATATCTTTAGTTGCAGTTTTGTTCATCTGTATTGTAAGAGTCTGAAAGAATTGATACCAAGCTTGTTAATATTGCAGGTATTTGGTTACTAGGGTATATTTTTCTATTTTTCAGTTTTCTGTCATTTGAAATTTTTATATTGTGTATTTTGTTTGAAAACGCATGATATAAAAATTTTCAACATTTTCAGCAAAATACATGATATGTATTTTGTTGTTATCAGAAATCTCACTGAAGCGGCAAATTGACGTGTTAGGTAGGTTATCATTCCCCATTTTATTAATCCTGAATTGGGGACTTGGGTGATTGGGTTTATGCGAGATCATTCAGCTAGGAGACGAGTGCCGGGATCATTCAATGGCATCTTGACTGATCGAAGTAAAGCTTGAAAGATGTAAAGGCAACACATTGAATAAAATGGATTGTTTGGGGATATTTCTTTTTAAGGGATGTTTCTGAAGAACATAAGAAACTTTCCTTGGAGGAAGAGACCATGTGGTTAAGAATCCGTTCCTTAACATTGAGGCTGATTAGTGGACTTCCAAGTCTGAACCATCCCATGGAGCCAAGGAACTCAGAAAAGACCACTGAGAATGGCGTGTCCTCCCGGATTGATATTCTTCGTTTACTCCTTCAACAGCTGGAGGTGGCCCTGGAGACGGGAAAGCGATTCATTGAGAAGGAAGTTCAGGTATCATCAATATGTGTTCACCATCAAAGCTGCAGGAACCCATGACTGTCTTTAAAAATAGGAATTTGGGGTGGGTGAATAGTAAAGAACAGTATTTTGTCCTAGTTTATGGCACCTGTAGGAAAAAAAACCCTGACTTTGTAGACTTAGGAATTACAGAGGCTCCCTCACTATCCAAATTGGAGAGCGAGGAAAAGCAAAGTAGCTTTATTTGTAATGGTATATTTTTAGTAGTCAACAAACTAATACAGGGTTTCTGTTTTCACCATAATGATTCAGTTGTTAGTTTAGTTAGATAGTGAATTGCAACTTAATTGCTGAAAGAGACTTTTATCCAGTAGTTATAGTCTGCTGTTTTTTTGTTCTATATAAGTTTAGATGGATTTAAAGGACATTACTTTTTCCCCTTTTTTTCCAGTATCCTTTCCTTGGTCCTGTACCTACCAGAATGGCTGGATTCTTTAGTTCTGGCTGTTCTCAGTGTCAGACCAGTTCTTTTTATCTTGTTAGTGATATTTATGAGCTGGACACCAGTGGTTTAGGTAAGTGTACATTTGCATGAGTGTATTTACTAGGGCTTTGTCTTTGAAAACTTAGTAAATGTAACAGTTCACATATTTGGACAGATTGGGAGGAGATGGAAGCTGTTCTGGAGGTGTCTAGTTTAATATCAAAGAAGGTACATTCATAGATTACGAAGTAATGTTTTAGAAATTTAAGTCTTCTCTATTTAAAATCACTTGTTATGTCCAAAAGTTGAAAAAAATCCTTAATTTGTTGAAGTATTACTGGAGTTCAGATTGAATTCTTTACTAAACTTTGTGGAAACGAGTTTTTTCCTAACTCGGTGAGAATCACACATATTCCATTAATCCCCATCATCCCTCAGTCATAAGGTTTGTGGTTTCTGTCGTTGAGAGTATTTGAAGCACATGGATTTTAAGTCTTCTTAGAGAATTTTAGGTATTACTTTTGAGAGAAAGGTAGTTAATGCCTCTTTTTCTTTTCCTTTCTTTTATCTTTTCCTTTGTCTCTCAGTAATGGAATTTGATGCCTTGGAGTCTTAAGAGTAAAGAAAATGTCCTTGTTCATGAGTTGCTTGCAGGTGTTGATCTTGATTCTTTTTCTCCCTAAAAAAATTGTTTTTTTGTTTTTGTTTTTCAATTTTAGAGGATACAGTGGAGATCCAGGAGAGAGTAGAGAATAGTCTAAAGTCTTTACTAGAACAATTAAAAGGTAAGCATTCTGACTGTGGAGTCCCATATTTTATTGTCTGACAGGAACTCATTTTTTAGCAGAAATTGCAAGAGTTGCAAACAACAACTTGAAAATAATAATGCATACTTTTGGTATTTTGAAAGACTTGTTTTTAACTTTAAAAAGTGTTGATTACAAAAGTAGTAGACAACCTACTGTAAAACAGTTAACAAGTAGGTGTGGTCTTTCTTTCATTCCCAGCCCTATTTCCCCAGAGGGAAATAAATACTGTTACTTAGAAGATAAGTAACACTTTTGGGGTCTGTACTCCTAGATGCCCCCTAAACAGTCTTATATGTGTATGTGGAAATACATAGTAGTGATTTTTTTAAACACATGAAAAGGTTACAATACATACTTTTTATTTTAACATTTTGTTGTCTTGAACATTTACCATGTCAGTTACTTAAAATCACAGTATTAGAGCAATGTACTGTTTGTTTATGTATGCCTCATGGAGTACATAATATGTTATGTACTTGAGTTATTTATGACTATAATAATGCTGAAGTGAACATTTTGGGACATAAGTGTTTGGGTACTCATTTGAGCATTTCCTTGGGATTAAATTCCTGGAAATGGAATTGTTCGGTATAAAAGTACATAAATGCATTTCAAATCTATAAGGGTCTTTCTTTTAAAGAGCCTAAATGGTCTTTTAATTTATTGCCCAACTGAATAATGATAATTAAAAGACAAAGATTGTGCGAATAAAACATGGTATTTATTATGAAGGTGAATTTCTATTATGCACCTTAGTCTTTTTGTCCATAATGGCCCACATTCTTTTAAATCATTCATTTGGAGTCTTAATTTTATTGTGGCAGTGGCCTATTTGTGGAAAGGCTAGCTGGTTTTTAAACTCTAGAATATATAATTTGTGAGGTCACCTTTTATATTTTGAAGGCAACAGAGCAATAGTTACGTGGCTTTTTAAAGAGCTGAAAATAGGGGCTCGTGGCTGGCTCAGTTGGTAGAGCCTGCAACTCTTGATCTTGGGGTCATAATTTTGAGCCCTGCTTTGGGGATAGAAACTACTTAAAAATAAAGTCATTTTTTTTAAAAAAGGTGAAAATAGATATCCTTTGTTGTTTGGTTCACTGTGGGGGAAAAACTTTCTGGATTAATCTTTTTATAGTTGCTTATTGTGCATCGTATTCCTAAAATTATCATTGAAACAAAAGCTGAACAAAACAATAAAATACTTTCCTGTTTTCAGATGTCTTCAGTAGATGTAAAGGTGACCTCTTAGAAGTTAAAGATGGTAATTTGAAAACACGACCTGCTCTTTTAGAGAACCTAGTCTTCTTTGTTGAGGTATGTCTTTGTTCTTTTCCTGAGAAACTCGGTTTTCCTTTATTGAGTGAAGGATTAATTTTTAAAAATGAACAGGTAATAGGCACCTTACACCTGTAATTTAATCCTCCACCCCCACCTTTTGTTAAGTGAAAAGCAATTTAAGTCATTTTAGAATGAGCTCCTTCCAAGCATACCAAGAAGGTTTTGTTCATGACTAAAACTTGCAGTTTGCTTTACCATTCTCTAAAAATTCCTCAGATTCACTCCAAATCTGTCTGTTCTCTGTTCACTTTCCTTTTTTGACTCTACTTTTATTTTATTTTAAGTTAATTCCACCAGCTTTTTATTTATTATTATTATTATTATTATTATTATTTCACCATGAATGATTTTTCAATTTTTATTAACATATAATATATTACTTGTTTCAGGAGTACAGTTCTGTGATTCATCAGTCTCACATAATACACAGCACTTACCACAACACATACCCTCCCCAGTGTCCATCACCCAGCCACCCCAACCACCAGCTTTTTAAATTTGTTGTTGCTAGTCATTAATTAACTAAGATTCTGCATTATAAAGGAGAATCTGGGCATAGATTTAGCAAAACTTTCTCTTTTTTAACCAGAGGGAAGAGGAGGATTGCAAACACTCATAATCTGTTATCTTATTTTCATCACGTTTGCTTACTTTTCTCTTCCTCCTAGTCTGTTCTGGTGATTGGCACAGTATAAGTGTCTAAGACTGAGCAAATCTGTAATAATTGCATGGGTATGTCCATGCACTCTGTAACAGAGAAGAAGCATGGTATAAACACCTTACTTAAAGGAGGAAAACGTGCTGACCAAGGAGAATTCTCTGTTTTTTGCATTTTTTTCTTTTCTTTTTTTTTTTTTTTTTTAAGAGAGCATGAGTGCTTTGGGGGAGGGGCAGAGGGAGAAAAAGAACATTTTTTTTTTGTCTAAAGATTTTATTTATTTATTTGAGAGTGCGTGGGAGGTGCAGAGGGAAAGGGAAAAGCAGACTCTGTGCTGAGCGCAGAGCCTGATTTGGTGCTTGATCCCGTGCCCCTCTCTGTTTAAGATTTGTGGGGGAGGTACTATCTTGCTGGGCTGGTAGGTGGGTGGGGAGAGGCATATTGTAAAGAACCTTTGGATTCCAGGCATAGGAATTTGGACCTCTCTTTGAGTGTAAGGATTACTTCCTACAAGGGAGTGAAAGGAAACTGGACCAAATGTAGGATGGCTTTAGGGCTAGGAGAGCTAGAAGGGAGGATAAAGATTGAAGCAATCGTACGTAGTATTTCTAGTATTTTGAGCAGTATTCAGATGAAGGTCTTCTGGATCTGTGTGGTAATTGTAGAAAGTAATCTAATCTCTCAAATCTGTAGTGAAGAGCTAGAGGAGAATTTAAAAGGATTTGCGTGGAACTGTCAGCAAGGATTGTTCAATCCATAACCCTTAACTGTTCCTGATAGATGTCTTGAATATAATCCTTATTGATGAATTTGCAATTTTTCCTCTTTTAGACTATTTCTATTATCCTTTGGGTGTCCAGTTACTGTGAGAGTGTCCTGCGACCATACAAATTAAATTTACAGAAAAAGAAAAAGAAGAAAAAAGAAACCAGCATCATCATGGTAATAACAGAGAAAATATAACTTGGCTGCATGCTGCTGTTTCTTTTCACTGTTTTACTGCATATTGTAAGAGACCTTAGAATCCTGTGTACATTCATTTTCCCTCCCCAGCTTGTTTTTGTTTTTAAATTACACACCTATAGAAAAGCAAAAATGCTCCATCCACTTTGTTCCCATTGAACTGAACTGAGACATTTTTTCAAGGAGCCCTGCCTGGTTCTTTTATGGGGAGTGGCATTTCAAAACCAAGATGTAGATGTTAGGTGTACTGATTGTTGATGGGGTTTCAAGTTTATGTTAGTGGAAAGAGGAAATGTATTTACACATGTAAACACAGAATAATTAATTCTTACTGATACCTCCAGTTTTAGTCCAACACTGCCGTGTTCTCCCTTCTTTTCCTTCTCTCATTCCAGGTTATAGTTTCCCCCCACGCCACCCCCAGAGTTTGAACACTGGTTCCCTATAGCATCAATGTATTTATTTCACTTGTTTTAGAGGAAATACTAAACAGTTTTGGAATTACCTTATTATATCATTTGCATTACTAGTTTCAGTAAGCCACTAAAGTTCAAATTTTTTTGCGGTTGTTCTTTGTCCTTAGAATATGTACCAGTGCATACAGAGAGTTAAGTACTCTATAAAAACACTGGAATTGAAAATAAATTATATTATTAGTATGGCATAAATAAGATTCATTTATTTTTTTTTGTCTTCAATTTTGGAGTGTCCGCCTATCTATTGATTTAACTTTCGAATGTGTAAAACATTAACATAATTTGTGTAGTTTTCATGAGGAAAGTTATTTAGGATTCATTCTGCACAGGACGTGCTGTTTTTTTAATGTTTGAATTTGTCCTATCATTATAAATGGGAGAGTGTTCTTCACTGTAGCAACATATAGTGACCATTGTCATTTGAAAATGTTAATGGTTTTAGTGGTAATATTGACGTCCTGCATAATTCAGTAACAATTCAGGAATTCTTTAGATTTGACACTGCTTTGCTGGATGTTTCATTCGTTCAGAAACAAAGGGTAGTTATATTTGGATGAGGGGCTAAGTGAAGGAACCTTCTTTCCTCTTCTTTCAAGATAATTTAACAGATATGAGTGTAAAATTTGAAAGTGTAGGTAAAAGTTTCTCTGTTAATCTCTTCTAATGAAAGCCCATGTACCTAGAACATTTCGAAGAGCTTATTGGCATTTGGATTTTGGGGCTGAGGTGGTGGTGGTGGATTGTAGTTACTGCTTTTTTTAATTTCTAAAACTGAGAACAGCTTTCCTGTTTTCTTGATCATCAAAGTAACCTAAAGATGTGAATCAAGTGAAGATCGCTCATAGTCCCACCAGCCAGTGATCACCACTGCGAACAAACCAGAATTATGCTCTGTATCGGAAACTTGTCTGTTTGTGTTTTCATTTAACAGGGTACCTTAGACACCTCTTCTGGAGATACATGGATGTATCTCATTACCTTTTTTTTTTTTTTTTAAGATTTTATTTATTCAAGGGAGAGAGAATGAGATAAAGTGCATAAACTTGCTTTACTAACTGATTGGACAGGTTTCTTGGATTTGTATGATTTTTAAATTGTGTCACATGTTGCTGAGATTTCTTTGATATATTTTCTGTTCACATCTTTTTTTTTCTTTTTCAAGATTTTTATTTATTTATTTGACAGATAGAGAGATCACAAGTAGGCAGAGAAGCAGGTAGAGAGAGAGGAGGAAGCAGGCTCCTTGCTGAGCAGAGAGCCCAATGCAAGGCTCGATCCCAGGACCCTGAGATCATGACCTGAGCTGAAGGCAGAGGATTTAACTCACTGAGGCACCCAGGCACCCCTTCTGTTCATATCTTTGCCCAAGTTTCCTGTTGTGGTAGTAATATTTTTCCTAATGATCTATTTTAAGCTGTTGGGTTCTTAATTTAATAATGTTATTAATTCTATATCCCTAATGATGCAATTTTTTCCAGTTTTTCATTTATCTTTTAACTTGAATAATTTTTTTGGTCAACATAGTAATTAAGAAAAAAATTTTTTAATGGTTCTTAGTTTGGTGTAATGTTTAGAAAGTCCTTTTCAATTTATTACACAAGCCATTAACTAAATTTTGTTCTGGTGCTTTGGTGGATTTTTTAAACTTAGGCATTTACTCTGTTTGGAATTTATTTTGGTACTTAATTTTTATTTTGTTTATTTTTTAAAAAGATTTCACCCCCTGGTTGGGTCACTTGGTTAAGTATTCAACTCTTGGTTTCAGCTCAAGTCATGATATCATGGGTTATTGTGCTTTGTGCTCATTGGAGAGTCGGCTTGAGATTTTCTCCCTCTGCCCTTATCCCTGCTCATGCGCTTGTGCTCTTTCTCTCAAATAAATAAATGTTTTTTAAAAATTATTTTTAAGTCATCCCTACACCCAAGGTGGGCATCCCTACACCCAACTCAAGACCACAAGCCCCAAGGTCAAGAGTTGCGTGCTTTATTGACTGAGCCAGCCAGGTGCTCCTGTTTTATAATGTCAGATGTCTCGCAAGTTATCTCAGTACCATTCATCCACTGGAAACCATTGTTTTGAGATGCTACCATTTAAATTCCCTTATACTCTTTGGTTTATCTTGGGACTTGTTTTCTTTCACTTTTTATCAGTTCACTTATATACCAGTAATGTCTGGATTTCATGTAGCTTTATAATATACCCTCATATATGTGAGGGCAAGTTCCCCTTAACTACTTTTTTTTCAGAATTTTTGTGACTGTTGTTACCCATTATTTTTTCTGTTGGAACTTAGAAAACTCTATTTCTGTTATTAATATTAGAAGAAATCTCAAAGACCTATAGAGAAGAAATGAAACTTTGGTTCCTCTCATCTTCTTTAGTGTTCCAGAAGATTCTTAGCCTGAAGTTGAGTAATGACCACCTAAGATATTTTCTCTTGGTTTTTCCATCTCCAGTTCCCCAGAGTGAATAAGCCCCATTTTTAAAAAATGCTTGTCATTGTTGGTGAGTTAAGCATTATTGGTACCAATTAAATTTACCTTGGTTTGAGAGACTGTCTTAATAACCAAAAGTGTATCCATCCTGGTTACTATCAATAGCATTAAGTAACTGTAGCATGAAGTTAATATAGCTTATGAGATGTAAGCAAAGGAAATATGTTTGATAATCTTTCATCTTTTTAAAAATCTTTTTTCCAGCCACCTGTCTTCACCAGTTTCCAAGACTATGTTACTGGGCTTCAGACTTTAATTTCCAACGTTGTGGATCATATTAAAGGGCTTGAAACACATCTAATTGCACTTAAACTTGAAGAACTTATTTTAGAAGATACTTCTCTCTCACTGGTAAGGGACTGTAGGTGATCACCAATAAGTTATTTGTAGATACTCAAGAGTTCCTCACTTTATCACTAGGATAAGTTAATTTCAGTTCATCGTCTGCTCCGTGTAGAACTTGTGACTGGAAGGTGCCTGATAGCAGTTTTTTGTTGTGTCATTGGTGGTGGTGAGTCCCCTCTGCCTTCGCTTCTCCCCACCCCATACCTGCTTTCTGAAAATTTTTGGGGTTGTTCCTTTGCTGTGAATACTGATGACTAGTTAATGAGGAGTACAGTTAGAACTGTCCCTGTTGCGAGCGCCAGAGGAAACCAGCCACTGAGATCCAGGGATAGTCTCCTTGAGTGAAAAGTTACCTGCTGCTGGGTTTGCTGGTTTTTTTGCCACCCCAGCAGTTATCAGCTGAAAAAGAGATGCTGGATACCATAAATAATTATGTCAGTAATAATTAGGCTGGAGAGTAAGCCAGTCAAAAGGGGGAAAGGAGCCAAGCATGGAATCAAGGGTATCACTCAATCAGACTTCTCTTGGTAATTATTATAGGCTAGTTTGTTTGTTTCTTTCTTTCTTTCTTTCTTTCTTTCTTTCTTTCTTTCTTTCTTTCTTTTTTTTTTAATTTTATTTATTTATTTGACAGATCACAAGTAGGCAGAGAGGCAGGCAGAGAGAGAGGAGGAAGCAGGGTCCCTGCTGAGCAGAGAGCCCTATGTGGGGCTTGATCCCAGGACCCTGGGATCATGACCTGAGCTGAAGGCAGAGGCTTTAACCCACTGAGCCACCCAGGCGCCCCTATAGGCTAGTTTCTTAAAAATTTATTAGCAAAATCGTTATAAAGTCTTGCCTTTAAGATATGTATTCTTCATTTCAGTCTGAAATGATTGAAGATTTAATGGTGTCAAGTGAGTTAACATTCATCAGTCCTAGTTGGTCTAGTGGTGAAACTTCAGTCGTGAGGGAGTGCTCCCTTGAGTAGTTCATCTGACCTGAGCCTCTGCTAGCGAGGGAGCTCATCCACTAATGAGAGCAGCCATCATTTCTAGCCCCAGATCTTCCCCAGGGAGGAGAGGGAATGGAATATTGCTTGGCACACCAGCGTTAAAAGATTATAAGTCCTTCTGTAATGCTTCAACACATTAGAGCTATTTAACAAGGAGCTTACTGTGGGAAGAGGCTCAGAGCCTTAAATAACATTTCCAAAGACTGGTTAAAGAAAGCAGATGTGTTCAGAGGTGAAACTAGAAGTTTGGTTTTAGATAGTTAAGCTGTCTTTCCTATATATACATTAGAATGAACATAGACTTCCGTGGTAAGTAGGACTAATTGATGGATTAATTCTTTAGTATTTTTGTTTTATTTATTTACTCTTTTTTCAAGCTTTACAATGTATTGTGTTTTGTTTTTTTGTTTTTTTTTTTAATTTATTTATTTGACAGAGAGATCACAAATAGGCAGAGAGGCAGGCAGAGAAGCAGGCTCCCTGCTGAGCAGAGAGCCCGATGCGGGGCTCGATCCCAGGACCCTGAGATCATGACCTGAGCCGAAGGCAGAGGCTTTAACCCAGTAAGCCACCCAGGCGCCCCTACAGTGTATTGTTTTAAAAAGTAAAATAAGTATATGGTAAAAAAATGTGGCATAAATAAAAACTATTTAGTGAAATGTCTTCCTCCCATCGTAACACATTTCCTAGTTCCATTTCCAAGAAGGAACCTTTGTTGTTCGTAGTTTCTTGTACAGTCTTCCTGAGTTCAATAACCCAGCTACGAGCATATGTTTCTTTTCCTTCCCCACAACCTTTTACTTTTAAACACAAATGATAGCATACTATACATTGGTGGGGTTTTTTGGACTGTCTAGATTATTACATGTGAGTACTTATGTACCTTAGTCTTCTCAATGCTTCTATAGTGTTTTGCTCTTTCTTTACACACAAGATGTATGTTTAAGAGAATTAGAAAATAGAAATTAGCAGCCCTCATTTCTCAGCCTCAGATAAGTTCCAGTCTCATCATCCAGAACTATTCCCACCTCTTCTCCTTCTATATTCCTAGAACACATTTGTATCTGCCACTAGCCTTTATGCTTCCGGGCACTTGGGAAGCCAGTAAAGGCCTAGTAATTGAATCCTTGAGAAATAGGTGTATCTAGCTAGGATTCTGGCCTTCTACCTCCTACTTGCACACCATTCTGAAAGAAGGGATACTTGATCGTCCATTTGGAACACTTATTCACATATGGAGAAATATGGTAATTAGTGGCAGATTTTGAGCCATTCAACTTTTTAGGATAAACCCAAACTTACTCTCTGGTCCAAACTCTTATCCCCTTTCCTGAATACTTTAGAACAATAAAAACTTAAAATTATAGTATCTATTAAAAAAAAAAAAATCTTAGGGATGCCTAGGTGGCTGTCAGTTAAGCATCTGCCTTTGGCTCAGGTCATGATCCCAGGGTCCTAGGATTGAGCCCATGTTGGGCTTTCTGCTCAACAGGGAGCCTGGTTCTCCCTCTGTCTGTCACTCCTTCTGCTTATGCTCGCTCTCTCTCTCTCCCTCTGACAAATAAAATCTTAAAAAAAAATCTTAAAGATCACAAACTTGAATGAATGTCACATTGCTTCATGTCACTTGCTTCATTGGGCTTTGCTGGGTATTTGGGTTGTTAATTTTTAGATAAATATAAATATATTGAGCTTGCTGTTCTGGGTAAATGCTCATAAAATACAGTGGTCAAAAGACCTGGCTGTAGGGGCACCTGGGTGGCTCAGTTGGTTAAGCGGCTGCCTTTAGCTCAGGTCATGATCCAGGGTCCTGGGATTGAGCTCTGCATCAGGCTCCCTGCTTAGTGGGAAGCCTGCTTCTCCCTCTCCCACTCTACTGCTTGTGTTCCCTGTCTTGCTGTGTCTCTCTCTATGTCAAATAATTAAATAAAAATTTATTAAAAAAAAAAAAAAAAGACCTGCCTGTACCTGGAAAATAGTATGGCATTTGCTGAGAAAGCTGAAAATAAAGCTACCCTAACCCCCAGCAATTGCACTACTGGGTATTTATCCAAAGGATACAAACACAGTGATCTGAAGGGGCACCTGCACCCCAATGTTTATATCAGTAACGTCCACAATAGCCAAACAATGGAAAGAGCCCAGATGTCCATCAAGAGATGAATGGATAAGAAAGAGGTGGTATAGCTATATAATGGAATACTACTGAGCCATCAAAAAATTGAAATCTTGCCATTTGCAACTATGTGGATGGAACTAGGGGTATTAATGCTAAATGAAAAAAGAGAAAGGCGATTATATAATCTCACTCATACGTGGAATTTAAGAAACAAAATAGAGGACCATAGGGGAAGTGAGGGAAAAATAAAACAAGACAAAATTAGAGAGGGAGACAAACCACAGGAGGCTCTTAATCATAGGAAACAAACTAAGGGTTGCTGGAGGGGAGGTGGCTGGGAGGGTAGGGTAGGTGGTGGTAGACATTAACAGAGGGGCTGTGATGCAGTGAGCACTGGGTGTTATATAAGACATGATCACTGAACTCTACCTCTGAAACTAATAATACACTATATGTTAATTTGAAAAAAAAAAAAAAAGACACGGCTGTAGAGAGATGCATGCAAATTAATTTGGAGATATGATAGAGGCACAAAAACTGAGCGAGTCAGAAAGAGTCTTACCAGAGAGGCGGCATTTAAGGACTAATAAGTTTTCAGTAGGTGGACCAGAATGGATGAAAGGAATCCAAAGCAGAAAGAGGCAGACAAAAGCTGGAGGCAGAAAGGTGAATTGTGTGGGGACATCGTAAGTCAGTTGGCAGAGCTGGAGCACATGGTATGTGGGAAGGACTGTCCAGTACAAAGATGACAGGCACAGTAGCCCGCTGTTGCAGGTTGTATGGTGGTTGTTAAAGGATCTGTGCCTTCTGATGTGAGGAATAAGATTTCTCACTTTGAGTATTTGTTCTGAAGGTTATCTTTAACCTTGGGGTACTGTAGATTTTTCAAGACTTAACTCTGTCCTCATTATTTTTTTTTTTAAGGTTTTATTTATTTGGGCACCTGGGTGGCTCTGTCAGATGAGCATCTGCCTTCAGCTTAGGTCATGATCTCAGGGTCCTAGGATCGAGCCTTGCATTGGGCTCCCTGCTCAGTGGGGAGTCTGCTTCTCCCTCTGCCTCTGCCTGCTGCTTCCCCTGCTTGTGCTCGCTTGCTCTATCAAATAAATAAAATCTTAAAAAAAAAAAGATTTTATTTATTTGAGAGAGAGAGCATGAGCAAAGGGGAGGAAGAGAGGGAGGGAGAGGCAGACTCCCCACTGAGCAGGAAGCCTGGCTTGGGGCTCAGTCCCAGGACCCTAGATCATGACCTGAGCTGAAGGCAGACACTTAACTGACTGAGCCACCCAGGTGTCCCTATTTTTTTTTTTTTTTTTAAGATTTATTTATTTGAGAGCAGGTAAGCATGTGTGCGAGTTGCAGGGAGGGGCAGAGGGAGAGAATCTCAAGCAGATTCCCCGCAGAGTCTAACACAGGGCTCTATCTCACAATCCTGAGATTATGACTTGAGCTGAAACCAAGAGTCAGATGCTTAACTGACTGACCCACCCTGGTATCTCATCCTCATCTTTGACCTGGGAAGTCACTTAACCTTTCTAGGCCTCAGTTTCTTTATCTGTATCTGTATTTATCTGTATCTGTATTAAACTCTCTTATAGGATTATAGTGAGGATTACATAAAACAGTTATGGAGGGGTGTGGGAGGGTGGGGTATTTAATTGCCTATTTTTTATTGAAGTCGTAATACCTATAATATACTGAGCAGTACCAACTACCAAATGTAGGATCCATATAGTGCTGGCTGCTTTGTCTTTCGGGTGAAAAATATTTTTTTCTTCAATTTCCACTAGGTTTACTTCTTTTTTCTTTCCTTCCTTCCTTTCTAAACTTGAAATACTATGCACAAGTACTACCACCTCCAGTCATAGTCCATTTTCCTCTTATCTGGATGTATCCACTGAAACTGGTTGTGTGCCAAGAATTTTTTTTTTTAAGATTTTACTTATTTATTTAATAGTTTACTTACTAGAGAGAGAGAGAGAGAGAATGAGAGAGCATGGTGGAGGGGGTCAGAGGGAGAAGCAGACTCCCTGCAAAGCAGGGATCCCAATGCAGGATTTGATCCTGGGACTCCAGGATCATGACCTGAGCTGAAGGCAGTCGTTTAACCAACTGAGCCATCCAGGTGCCCCAAGCCAAGACCTTTTATGTTAATTTAAAATGTACTGTAATAGCTGCTATGTTTTTGAAAGTAAATGATATGCTCTGTTTTACACTGAAACTTAGCTTGCTTTTCCGCTTAACCTTATATTCATGAGATTTGTTCAGGCTAATGCTGTTCTTTTAAACAACTGTATGGTATTCGGCATATGAGTGGATCATAGCCATTGGATATTGTAGGTTGTTTATATACACTTACTTTTACTGCAGTCCTGAATGAAGTGTATTTTACATACCTTCTCTACTAATGCACATGTGTACTTCCAAGGTAGACAAGGTCTCAAGATGATAATATTTGGCCATAAGGTCTGCTTCCCTGGTCTTCAGGGCTTTGCAATACTGCCAACTTCATGTCACCCTAACCAGTTCTCAGCCAACCTCCTTTCGATGTTTGAACACTCCATCCCTTTATTTTTTGTAGTCTGTATTACAAGTCAAGTATGTAGCACATATTTGAGGAAGTCTAGGAAAGCTTTGTTATTTTTTAGCTGTTTGGTCTCTGGAACCCATGGTCTTTGTCAGTATGGAGAGACACTTATCAATATTGTAACCAGAAAAGTTGGCAAAGGTAAAAGGTAAATTTGATGCCTTTAAGAAGTGGCTCTGAAAATGTCCAAATTAATAATTTTTACTTTTGTTTTATGATGAAATAATCAGAAATCTTAATTTTTCTATTTTGTACAGCTCATAACAAAATAGTAGTGATTTTATATCCAGACTTCTTAGTAATAATTTTCTACCCTTTTTTTTTTTTTTTAAGATTTTATCTATTTATTTGGTAGAGAGAGAGCGCAAGAGCAGTAACACAAGCAGGGGAGTGGGAGAGAGGGAGGCAGGCTTCCTGCAGAACAGGGAGTCTGATGCGGGGCTCGATCCCAGGACCCTGGGATCATGACCTGAGCAAAAAGCAGATGCTTAACGACTGAGCCACCCAGGCGCCCCTCTACCTTTTTTTCTGGATGAACATTAATAATCAGAAATCTCAGTTTTTTGATTTTGTATAACTTAAAACAGAGTACTGGTGAAAGAATTGAAATAATGACGCTAAAGCAATAGGATGTCAGTGAAAATCATATGGAGAAATACCCATCTGTGATGAGCTTTAAGCCTTCTTTGCATTTTATGAAATTGAAAATGACCCATTGTATTCTGATGGAGCTTGCTGTGAGACCAAAGGTAATGGTAGTTTTTATTTCCGTGAGAGGAATTATAATCTATCTGAGGGAATGCTTTCAGACCAAGACCGCTAATTCTTATCTTCTTTGTAGGAAGAGAGAAAATTTTCAAAGACTGTGCAAGGGAAGGTGCAGAGCAGTTATCTACACTCACTTCTGGAAATCGGAGAGCTGCTGAAAAAAAGACTGGAGACCACAAAGAAACTAAAAATTTAAGGAAGTGGGAACCAGAGGCACCAGTGACTCTACACTAGAAAATGATATCATCTTCCCAGGCAAAAGCTCCATCTGGTTGACCATCATTTTAATCCAGAACTTCCTCATAAAATGCATGAAGGACTTTGATTGTGAATTAATTTTTTAGGTATTAAATGTATACAATTGATTAAATTATTGTATATAAATCAGAAGCAGGACCCTCATCTGGGTTTGACCACTTTTTATACATGTTCATATGCATATGGCAGCCACAAGAGAACCCCACTTTTCTTCTTTCTTCCCATCACCAGAAACATCTGGTGGGTAGGTGGGGGTCCTATAAAAGCAGCAATAGAAGTTAAGCATAAAGCATTGACCTCAGAGCAGCTGAATGGCCCTACCATTATCATAGTGGGTGTTTGGTCTGGTCCTTGAGCCTTAGGAAGCAGAATGCAGAAGTAGTGGGACCATGACTGGGAGCAGGCCCTCTTTCCACATTAGCTCAGCTGCTTGGCTCCCCCAGAACCCAAAGCAGGTACCCAAAGGGCCTCAGATGAAATTTGGCATAAGCACCTGTCACTGAAGAGCGCCACTCAGATGACCATAGGCACTCAGTGTTTGGCTTAATAGTCTAATAGCCAAGAAATCCCCATCCTAGCTCCTCTGAGAGTTAAATCACAGATAGGTTTGTGTTAACTTACATTATATGGAAGGGAAAGCAGTGCAGACCACTTATGAGCCTGCTAAGGACTAGCTTGCTGTCTTTCATCCATCTTTGGGAAAGATGGGAATCACTGTTTTAAAGAGACGTGTACATAATTTATGCAGGCAAGTCTGATACCAATGTCATTGGTTTTGTGAGATATATATATATGTATATGCTTTTACATATATATTTTTCAAGAACACAAACACGTGTGTGTGTGTGTGTGTTTGTGTACTTGAAAATAAAGATTTAATACTTTAGTGTTTTTTAAGTGGGGGGTTTGGAGAGGAAGGAAGGAATGTATATTATGGACTTAGGTTTTAAGTTTTAGGCTGGCAAAAGAAATGTTATCCATTGGGTTTGATGTTTGGTCTGCTTTCTTCAAACTTGAGAATTACACCAGGATGGTGTTTACATTGTTCACTTGGAGCTCCCTATGACTATAGCTTCAGAGGTTGATCTGACAGAAAAGATAACATTGCTCTTGAAAATGTTATACAGTTTATACAATTGCTTTGATACCTTTTTGTGTTTGAATCTGTGCTTCTGTTTTTAGTTTTCGTTACTCAAACACCATTAAAGTTAGTAATTCTGTAAGAGCAAAGATACGACTTTGATGAGAAAATTCAAGTATCTGATGGAGGGTTGATTGGTCTTAAAGACCTTACAGTTCCTTTTCTACTCACTTCTCCAGTGAAATGTGATACTTTTTTCTTTTAAAAGGAAACAAAAGAGAGCTTGGAAAATCTCTGTATGTAAAACAATTGCATTTTGTCCCTTTATCGTGACTTTCTTAGATTCACAGTTTGATAGGGTGATTAGTAACTGTGCTTGAACTTCCAAGGAAAATTTTAAGAAAATTACTACATTATCTGTTCAAAATAAGACTTGCTGGAAATCCTAGTCTGTCAAGTAATTCCAAGAAGTTATTTTTTAGTGTAAGTTTGTATCCACAGCCATCATACCCCGTCCGAAAAGGAAAAACTGCCTTGAACAAGATGAATTGAAAATTCTAATTGATTCCAAATCTAATTTAATGACAACATAATTTCATAAGACTATTGCCTATTTAGATGGAACTTGGTGTGTGTATGAGGGTGGGGGTATGTGTGTATGGCATGTGTTCTTGAAATGATGTTTCTTTGAATATCCAAAAATATTGTACATAGAAATAGAAATGCTCTATGAAACAAGTCTTCAGCTGACCATGGTCAATCTAGCATATGTGTGCTCAGTGAGCTGGCTTTGGTCCTCAGGGACAGTGCTTGACTCCAGTGGTCTACCTAACTAGTCTTTTGCCTAGGGACACCCAGGACCTCTCCTGGTTTTAGTGACAAATAATGTTAGGACGAGGTTATGCTTCCTTTGTTACTTGCTGACTTTCCTACTAAATGTAGCATTTCAATTAGATCCAACCTCTTACATTTTGGGATAATTGTAAAAAGAATGAAATTATGCAGAGATGCCTAATATCTTTATTGATCTGTTCTTTTGGAAACTCTTATGCACTATAAATTGTGTACAGTTTAAAATAATACATATACATATATATATATATATATACACACATAAGTATATGTGTGTATATATATATATATTTACATGAGTAAAAAGCACCCTCCAGCAATTGTAGGTCATTGGTATTTGAAGAGAATTCCCAAATAACCCATTGCTGCTGCTGCTGTTTTTGGTTTGTGTGGGTTTTTTTTTGTTGTTGTTGTTGTGTTTGTTTTTGTGTGGTAAATTGATATTTAAAAAAAAAAAAGAAAGAAAAACATGACTACTGTTTACAGACTGAAAAATTACTGCTTTTTATACTACTGAGATCCTAAGTTAAGATTCTCCAAAGCAAACATTTGGTTTAAATCATTTATCTGATGTGGATAAAGCATATAGAAATTTTTAGTGTTCTTCACATAATGGAAAATGTACAAATGCATAGCTGTGTTGCCCATCAATTTTGTATATTTTCATAATTTTAATTGTTCAAAATTGCATTATATTTTGCAATCACTATGTTCAACCTGGATTTGTCTTTCATTTAAACTTTTAATATAAAAAGGGGTTTCAATGTATCTATGGCCTTGTTATTGAAACTCTTCCTACTTATTTGATATCATTTATTAATATGGGAAGTATATATTCTTCCTTCAGAACTTAGTGAAACGTATGTAGCCAATTAAATTAGATGGGTTGATTTTTTTTTAATATTTTTAAAATTTATTTATTTGACAGATCACAAGCAGGCAGAGAGGCAGAGAGAGGGGGGAAGCAGGCTCCCCGCTGAGCAGAGAGCCTGATGTGGGGCTCGATCCCAGGACCCTGAGATCATGACCTGAGCTGAAGGCAGAGGCTTAATCTGAGCCACTGAGCCAACCAGGCACCCCTAGATGGGTTGATTCACATAAACGCTTCCATTTTAAGTTGGAATTTCTGCCTGGGTCATTTCTGTTTGGATTCATAGAAGCCACACCTTTTAAATGAGGTAATTCATCTCAATTTTGTACTGAGTGTTATATTCCTTGGCAAAATTGTAGTATTTATGAATTTAAAAGTTTTATCCCAAGGCCACTAGTCTCTCTTTTTTGCCCTTTTAAAAAAAATTTTATTTTTTTATAAACATATAATGTATTATTAGCCCCAGGGACTAGTCTTTTTAAGACTCAAAAAAAAAAAAAAGTAGTACCTCACATGCTAGCATTCATGAATTCAACATACATGCATTGGATGCTTCTTTACACTTTAGACTCTGTGGTAAATAAGATCACACATCCTAGTTAGTGGCCCAGGTGTGGGAAGAGAGAGCAAAAATAAACATTAGTTTTTAAGTCCGTTTTCGGGTGCATGATAACCGGGGTCCACAAGCAGTGTCATCTGACCTGATAGCAACTGAGAAAGGAACCCAAGTGCAGAGGCCTCACAGTAGGAACTACTGGGCAAAAATGGGCTCAAGTGTCTGGGCTTAAAGGAGTGGAAAGGGGGAAGTAAATGGCTCTGTGTGTGTGTATGTGTGTGTGTGAGAGAGAGCGCAATCAGGACTTTATAGACGGGGAAGGAAGGAGCTTTCTTAATGTAGTGGGAAGTTGCTGGAGGATTTCAGGCAGACTGATGATATGATTAACCCAAGAGTACTCAGACCCACAGGCTGAGATCACACACTGACAGTACAGTGGAAGGAGCTCCTAGTTTCCCTTGTGTCCTATACTATTAAATGCCTTTGTATGGGCCCTGAGAAGTCGGTTTCTGCCTGGGACTCCATCCCATCATTCTTTTTCCGTTAACAAAAGATGGGTACTTGGATATACCTCAATACCTTTTTTTTTTTTTTAAGATTTATTACAGTGTGTGTGTGTGCATGTGCACAGGGGAGAAACAGGGAGAGAGAATCCCAAGTTGGCTCCCTGCCGAGCGTGAGCCTGATGTGGGGCTCGATCTCAACCCCGAGATCACAACCTGCGCCAAAACCAAGAGTTGGCAGCTCAAATGCCATTTTTAATCTTCCTCAAAATCTTCAGGTTTATACTCTGTTCCATTTTTGGATGCTGTCATTGCCTTGATGCAGATATGTATTTCATAGTAACAAGTAGAAGGTAAGCAACCATGAGCCAAATGCTTATAAAAATTATTTATGGGGTACCTATATACCAGTTTATACACAGAAGCACAGCGCTCTCTTGCAACCTCCAGCTTCCATGTATCCCAGTAAAAGTGGATCCCTGACAAGGTACTACTTCACATGTGAGAAAAGGAGTTACTGAAGATAAGGCTATCACCTAAGACTACCTAGCAAGGTAAGGATTAGGGAAGATTCAAACTCTAAAGCATTGATGAAGCGAGTTGAAATCTAGACCACCCCCAACTCACCATCTCACATTCTTAGTAGTCTTGATGGCTATATTCATGTTCCCAGTTTCTGCCTTATTTATTGACAATCTTTCCTGAATTAATTCTGATGCAACTTTCTTTGGTGGCACCAATTGCCAAGGATTATTTTAGGTAACTTATAAGTTCCTCAGAATGAGGTTCTTTATCTTGGATCCAGGGTCTCATTTGCTTCGGGTTATCTACAGATTCCCTAGAAATTGTGTTTGATTGATTCTGGGAAGCCAGGCCATAGCCTTCCTCATAGTCTGATTAGCAGCACCTGAGCCACAGTATTTAATTAGGGGAAGAAGAGGGAAGGAATCTATTTAACCTAAGTGTCAGGGAAGATTTAATTTTATGTGGCTTATGCAAACCACTTCAGACTCTAGAGTTTAGAGGGCCCATCTTTAATGAAAAATACTTGCTATAAAGAGCCTTTGATAGGATACTCTAGCCCTGCCCAATGGCTCTTCAAGACCCTTGGCTTATAAATAATAATACTCGGCCTGGACTCATCCAATTAAGTACCCATTGATGTGCTGCCACCATTTCTTTCCCAGCTGACAGGATCACATTCAGGGACTGTGGATGCACGTAGTTTGAAGAGTTCTTTCCCTACTTGCCATTTGTCTTACTGTATTTCCCATTACGACAGTGAATGCTTAGTTCTTTGGAAGTGAATCTGTTTTATACAGATGAGAAAAAACTAAAGACGCTAAAGCAAGTGTATCAGTGAGAAGCATCCAGAAAGATCTTCCAAAATTTTCATAATGAGTAGGGGAAATAAATATATACAGTTACATCCTTTTCTTAAATGTTGAGAATACTTATGCTGGTTACTGGCAGTTTAGGTCTGAACTTTTTTTTTTTTTTTTTAATATTTTATTTATCCATTGGCGGGGGGAGAGGCAGAGAGAGAGAGAATCTCAA